GGCACTTCTTTAAAAGCACCAAGTAAATTAAATTATCCTACTTACTATTACAAATGTAAAAGGTTGTAAAGAAGTTTGTATATTTGTTTACTTTCATCATCATCATCATCGTATCAGCCGTTAAATGTCCACTGCAGAATATAGGTCTCCTCCATAATGGGGGTTTTGGCCGTAGTTGCCACTTGGCAGGTGGGTTGGAAACCGCAGTTAGGCTCTGGTGATGTTTTAAGAGGGACATTGCTGCACACCCCTCGACCATTAAATTCCCTTAGTCGCCTCTTATGACACCCACGGAAAAGGAAGGAGTGGCCCATTCTATGCTGAGACCACACGGCAATTTGTTTACTTTAAACCATTGGAATGGAGTTTGGTATACAAGACCGATCATATACTAGACTAACACATTGCGAACAAAGCCGTGGGACGCGGGGAGAAAGGGATTGTTAGTAATGGAGACTAAGAATCCTATTGCTAGCAATATACCCAACCAGGTCGACCTCCTCACGATTCTTCTTGGAAACTATTATGGTTAATTCCTTATAAATTCATCATGATGGGCTAACTGGCCTGTTTTCATTTTCATCTATCACCCTTCACTGGTGCTCCGCCAGCATATCCCGTTAGCGCAGGCGGGGTTACCATACCATTTTTACCCATCAAAGCCGTGGGACGCATTTATAAATTACAGAAAACTACTAACTGTTTCAATATCTAAACATTTGGGGTAAGGGGAGGATTATTAGTATCAAAGAATGACACGCTCTATCACCCTCTACAAATCATAGTGGTTAATTCCTATTGAATTCGTCACGATAGGCCAACTCAAGTCTCATCCATCATTAACGCCCCGCCAATGCCTAGTTACAGTACAGACGCAGCAAAAGTATTTATTTTCATCCATTAAAAAAATGTAAATATCTAAACATTTTTACGTAAACTTTCTATTGTTTAAGTTTCCTTATAAGTTGAGGATGTAACCTATATTTTACCACACTGGTCAGTAGGTTCAGTTAACCCGTCGTGTTTAATAGGCTTCTCGCGCAGAGGGCATAATATTAATAAACTAGTACATTTACATCGGTAGATTGTAGAGTACTCACGTAATCCTGGAATGTGAAGCTGTCCCATCAACGTTTAAAATCCTCGGAACGGTGAGGTAGCTCCGTGAGACCTGTGAAGCTCCCAAGAAGCTTCTGTGCTTCTAAGCGGAGCTGGGTTGGCTGTACCAACCACGACTTATACACACAACGGCCCAAATGAGAGGCTAAGTGCGGAAAAGAGAGTCCAATTTACATTACATTACATTACATCGGTAGATTATGCAAAGGAATATAATTCATAAGAAGAAAGGGATTGTTAGTAGTGGGGTTTAACAGCCCCATTGCAAGCAATGTATCGTATCAGGTCGACCTTCACGTAGTTCTCTCTGGAAACTATCGTAGTTCTCTCTCTCTGGAATACTTTACGAAGGCCTAACTGACCTGCTTTCATCCTCACCTATCATCTCTCAGATGTTATTTTCCCAGAGGAGAGAATGAAAAACAGATAGAATATTGTATTTTTACTCCATTGTTATAATTACTGGTATCCCAGTATAAAACCAAACAGTATACCAACGCCTTTAACATGTCCCGAATAAATGACAAATCGTGACATGTTACACTATTTAGACGTGCCCTTCTTTCTTTAGACTGTGTTAATACTTATTAAAATTAAATTCAATTGTTTGTTTATTACCTCTTGATACTTTCAAGATTTAACTATAAAATCATGCATTACATTCAGTGCCTACATGAATTGTTAATATTTATTTTTTCTAAATAAGGCCTTATCTGAATAAAGCATTTAAGTATAGAAAGAACCCATCGTTAAAATTATGCTCAAATTATTGAAAATGCTGCCAATATACTGCCACATGCAAATTTGTTTATCTACCCCACTTCTGTTCAATTAAAAACTCGTAAAGCTATTTTTGTATCCAGTCGCAACAAGATTATATTGGGTTCATGTTATATAGAGCTATTTCTGTCGATGTCCCTTTCATATTACATTTCCCGAAAAAAATCACGAGGAAATAATATATCCAGCACAACTGATTTTAAATGTTGAAATTATATCAAATAAAATACGTGTGGATGTTTCATTAATGATCTGTGCATATTAAATTATTATTGTTATTAAAATACAATTGGGTCATGTTGTGGGTACATAAATTAATAATCATTTTAGCTACAGATTGAAATGGAACTGATTATGTTAATCAGTTCCATTTTTATTTTTTTTAATTCAATTTTTAGGGTAAGGTTTTACCATTAAACATTTCTGAGACTTAGAAAAATTTTGTTGAAATACGACAAAATAATTATGTGTAAATCCAGTTTATTAGTAAGATTTATATGTACACATTTTAAACTGTGGCCTAGGATCAAGATTAAATTCTGTTGGATTACGTGTGTATATCGACAATTCCATAAACAGGTAGTAACTATTAAGTAAATTGATCGTTCATCATTTCGCAGATGGCCGTCATAAAGTTCGCTTTAGTTATCTTTTGATCTTTTCTAAATTAGAAAATGTATGGTAAGATGTTCACCTAAAGTCAATATTGCAGTAGCCCGTTGGATTCTATACCTTATGGCGTATAAGATCATAGTCACTTGTTATAAGTACATTTTAATGTTTCATACATTAAAGCGTTCTCAATTGAGCACTAAAATTCCAGTATCAAAGATTCCCTTATTCTTTGTTCAATATAAAAACAAAATATATTATTCGCAACTCGCTTGCTTTTTTTTTATTTATAATGATTACATACTGGAATCTGAGAGACATTTCTTTAAAATTATCTCTAAAATTAAAATTTATTTCCATTTGATATCATATCGAAATTTTTATTCTAAAGACCAATATAAATTAAATTTTTAATAGATTTGAAGTTTGTGATGGCTCATAACAGTAATTTCGCTAAACTACCAAATTTTTTTTTATACAACTTAGAATGGAAAACAAGCTGACATGAGCAGTACCATGGACATAACAGAGTATACTGTTTCGCCCATGATACCCCCCATGCGTTGCCATTCCTGAGGACTCAGGTGTTATTCCTCTGTACCCTGTAAATTCACGCCATATCCCACCCTTCAAACCGAAACACAGCCATACAAAGATAACTGCTTTAAGGTTGAAACACGAATGGGTCAGGTACCCAAGCAAACGAAAGCGCCTCGGAATCGCGCCTACATCTATTTTTCTTCATATAAATACGACATTACGTATTAGGTATATATAAAGAGGTAGATATGAATTAATAATAACTATAATGTAATAATAAATATTTTTTTAACTTCACACTCTTTTTTTGGAATTTATTTTTAAAACTAGACATAGTCTCTCTAGTCTGTGTTAGAGACGTAGGTGGTGAAGGTCAAAGTTTTTGTAATTCCATGTTTTTAGGTGAAGGTAGTATTAGATTTTATAGTATATTCACTACCCACTAAATAAAACTATGTTTACCTTTCTGTTACTGGCTAATTAAACTTACGACTGATGTTATTTTATATCTAAATAAAATAATTGTCTTTTATATGCGATAATTCGAAAACTTATTTATTACTTTAGTAAAATTAATGTTATTTATATCTTCACAATAAAAAATACGAACTCTATTTATCATATATTTTTAAATGCATTAACTTTCATAGTTATACTATTATAACACGCACACATACCCAATGGTAATAATAATATTATAAGAATTATTAATCGATATTGTCTGATGTTGATTTTTAATTTTGTTGATGCGTTGATTATTATAGAATAAAAAGGCCAACTTTCTACGGATTTCAAATCTACGGATTTGGTTCGTTTTTATTTCATTTATTTGAACAAAAAAGTTTCAACAATATCTTTATAGATATTGTTGAAACATTTTAGCTTTATAGCTAGTTCCATGAATTTTAAAATTTTGATCTATAAAACAGCTACATATTTATGATGTCTAAAGATATCAAAATTTAAAATAAAGGCATATTATTTAATTATACAATCCTACGAATATTCATTTATTTTAGTGTGTTGATATTTCTAGCATAGACTCCTTTTCCACTTTTGTTAATACAAGAGTAATGCCATCTCTGAAATAATGTAATGATTAATTGCAGCTTTGCGTATCTAACTTCCATACTAGCTTTTAATGTACGGATTTGGTCAGGAAATATCATGCCAACGTTTAGTTAAATGATGAAATTACAATAATGCTAACTTAACTGATAAAAATACTATCAAATATGATGCAAATGTTTGTCATCTAAATTATTTGTGGAACAGTTTTAGTTTTGTATTACATATTTCTTTTATTCTGACTTGAAAATTACGACTATATATAATTAATATTGACTCTTTTATGAAGTTTACTCTAGAAATTGACAAGATATTACGGGAAGTGTTGAAACTTGTGTTTTCTATCAATAATTATCAATAATATTGTGAAATTGAGATCTCAAGGAATATTGTGTAAAATAATAAATACCTATAATAATAATATTCAAGAAAGTTATCTTTTGTTTTATTGTTGTAATTATTGTTATTGTTTTGTTATTGTTATTATTATTGTTCATGTAATTTGACATAAAATGTATATATTTCTTTTATCACATGATTTGTGTTTCTACCATCAAACTATAGTATAATTAGAACCCTATTCGTTTCCATTTTGAACATCAAGCTGGCCAATATAATGAAAAAAAAGAGGATTTTTGTGTATTTTGGTGAAATATTCCTGACCAAGTCGGTTTACATAGCTTGTATGAAGTGCGTTCTCTTATGCCTTGGTTATATACTCTTTGATTATTTGTTCACTTCAGTCAGTGGTTTAGTTTCAAACTGTCAAATTCTATCTACATTAATTTATAGGTTATTTTGGCGAAAAATTTTATTGCACAAAATTTAATTATAATACAATTTTATAAAATACACGTAATGAGACGCGCCTACATTTACAGAAACAAAGATGAAGAGGACGGAAAGGTTATGATGGTGGACAATTCGTCAGATTTTTTAAACGAAGTTTCATTACATTTTGATATACCAAGAGAGGAGATAAAATTGTTTTCGTCCAACGGTTGTGAGATCCTCGATACACGGGTAATTAAAGATGATGATAAAATCTTCTTATCATTACAAAGTAAACATTCCCAAAGCTGTGATTTTGTCGCGGAGTCAATTTCAAATTTGGGTGTCAAAGATAGTAACAGCGGGAAAACTGTTTCTGACTGGATAACCCTGAACGTCGGTGGGAAACACTTTATGACTTCTCGATCTACACTTCTAGCCAAAGAACCGCATTCGATGCTTGCTAGAATGTTCGCAGACGACAACGATATGTACTTAATGAATCCCAGTGCTACAGACACGTCAGGCGCGTACTTAATAGACAGGAATCCTAAATATTTTGAGCCTATATTAAACTATCTCAGGCATGGTGAAGTGATTTTGGACAAGCATATAAATCCCAAGGGGGTCCTGGCAGAAGCTATATTTTATGGTATGATTAACTGTACATTGTTACTTGCCTGTATTAAGATAAATAAATGAAAATAATTTTTATTCTAGTAACTTCAGCTAAGAACAGGCTAAAAATACTCTTTATTAGTAATCCAAAATATGTATATCAATCTATGTATTTATTAATAATCAATGTGTATGTAATTTGTATATCAAATTCTGTTCAAATCTGTCCAGTTATTTGAAAGTACTAATATCTTTATAAACATATTTGTTATTTATTACTTTTTACCTACAGTTAAATAATATGCATTATATATTTATATTATTAGTGCATCTAAATATTTGTGCTTGTCTTATATAATATATTTTAATTGTTTCAAGAACAAATCAATATTTTAATTTGAGCGTAGTCATAGTTTAATTGTTGTGATAATAATTTTTATGCCCTTTAATACCATGTTGGATTAATCTAATAAAACCTATATTTGTATGTTTTATTGGTTAATTCGTATAAGTTCTGTCCACATGTATAATTCTACAAATATTAATATATATATAAACCTTTAATACAAATTTTCAGGCATTGAGTCCATGATACCACAATTGAAGCAAATCATTGAAGTATATAAAAGTTTAAAAGGCAACAAACAAGCATTGACCAGAATGGATGTAGTTCGTGCGTTAATAATTACACCTACAGCTGCCGAACTGCGATTCCAAGGTGTCAATTTACAAGGAGCTGACCTGAACAAGTTGGATTTAAGACATATTAACTTCAAGGTATTGACTCTTATATAAAAAGATAAACTCATAGATTCAAATTAACAATCTAATTCTGAGGTAGAATTGTGTATCACAGATAAAAATCTTATTATTTAAAGAGAAAATTACAAAAAGAAATTACAGTTAATATTTTTAAATAAACTTGTTTATAAACTTTTTATTACATTTCAAAACTATATATAGTTGGGAAAGTAAATAATACATTGCCTCCAACCAGATAATTTTTTTCTTATTGGTATATGTTATATATCAAATAAAGAATAACACAAATTAGTCATGGTTTTTTTTATTATGAATGGTGTATTACAACTAATGATAGGTTTTTTTTGGGTGAAAATGGAATGGTAACCCCACCTGCACTAATAGGATACGATGGCGGAGCACCAGTGAAGGGTGATAGATGAGAATGAAAACAGGCCAGTTAGCCCATCATGATGAGTTCATCAGGAATTAACCATGATAGTTTCCAGGGGGAACTGCAAGGAGGTCGACCTGGTTGGGTATATTGCTAGCAATGGGATTCTCAGTCTCCATTACTTAACTACTAACAATCCCTTTCCCCCCACTGAAGATAGGCTATGTGTTAGTACCCTACGTAATAATAGCTTTTCCCATAAAAAGTTATGACAATGAGGGTGGTTCTAGAAAAACACTGACACATTGAATTATTGATATACAACAGTATAAAAACTGTCCTATCTCTAAAGTTGGAGCTTGCATAATTCTTATGATAAAATACAAAATTTACTGGAAATGTTGATAAGACAGACAAATTCAGGTGGATTTAAAGTCTTGAATTATTAATTGTGACTTGCTCATTTTTTGCATAAATATAATTGATTTGTTTTCAGTATGCTTGCTTATCCCGATGTAATCTTAATGGAGCCAACCTCTCTCACTGCTGCCTGGAACGAGCAGATCTATCCCATGCCAACTTGGAAGGAGCACAGTTGCCTGGAGTGAAGGCCTTGTGTGCTAATATGGAAGGTTAGAAATAATCTATACTAATATTATAAATGTCTATATTTGTGGGTTTTGATATTCGTGATAATTTTTTGTACTACTGATCCGACTTTCAAAATTTTTTCACTGTTAGAAAGGTATATTATCCCTAAATGCTATAGATTACTTTTTATTTTGTTAAAACTCATACAACATTATGTTGCAATATTATATAAGGAAAGCTTACATTTAGAAATTAAAAATGAATGGCTGAATTGACAATGATTAAAAAAAAATAATCAATATGCTTATGGCTGTTATTCGTAATGAGGTGGGTAGTTTAGATATTTGTTATGTGGGTAGCTGTCAACATACACACCAAGCATATTAAAATCCAACATACGGGGGCGAAAATATGCTCTCTGAAATTAATAATTATTATTGTCTCTTGAATTATTATTAATCAGAATTGTTTATGCAATAAGTTGTTTTTATGCCACCTGATGGAAAGTCGTAACTGTCGCCTATAGATATGAATCATGTATCATGGACATAACACAGTATACTGTTTCGCTCATGATACCTTTCATGATATGAAGTGTATCTTAAAATGTACATTTTTCTATTTTAACCTTATTACAGGTGCCAATCTCAAAGGTTGTAATATGGAGGATCCTCTAGGATCTAGAGCTGTCATGGAAGGTGTGAATTTAAAAGGTATTTATTAATAGGCCAAACTTAGGCCACTTTCACTATTTTCAATGATGAATTTATATGTAATTTTTTTTTATGTTGTGTAATATTTTCACTAATCATAATCAATTATTTTAACGATGATGTTTACTATTGTCTTGATTTCATACTTATTTCATTTTGACTTTTTTATCACCAAATAAGTGATAATTACATTATGTAATTTTTTTATTCCTATAAGATACATGTTTTTTCAAAATTTTGCTTTTATAGGCGCAAATCTGGAAGGTAGCAACATGGCAGGTGTTAATTTAAGGGTGGCAACACTGAAGAATGCCAACCTTCAAAATTGTGATCTCAGAGCTGCTGTGCTTGCTGGAGCTGATTTGGAGGTATTAATTACTCTGACAATTATAAAAATACACTCTTCATATTATCTGTTACACCTTACATCTATGTAAATTATTTTCTAATAGTATTTAATTTTTTGGTAGTAAATGAGCATACAACATGTTTGATTGTAAACGGTCACTTTAGCCTATAGACGCCTTCAACACCAGGTGTGTCAAATACGCGTTGCCTGAAGAGATCTTAATATACCCTTTATACTATGATTACAACAATCTATTTATCTTACTTAGTTACTAGTTAGTATAACTCACATAAATACATTGTTTTGTTTTTACCTACTATAATCGAAATAATGTTAATCTACTTTTGTGTCTCAAAAACATAAGCAGTATTTTTAATTCTATTATTATAAAATTTTGATGTCCATATTGTTTTAGAATTTTAGCTATCACCTGAAAGAAAACATAACTCCAGCAATAATCGTCACAAACCATAAATTGATTTTAACATTTAGATGGCCTTTTTTATACTTACATTGAGTTTTCTTCAGAAACAATTACTACCGTGACGATCCTGTAATAAATTTGTCACTATTGAACTTTTCAACAAATAAATATTTGGCTTTCACCCGCGACTTTGTGCGCGTGACCTAGATATGTTTACTAACTGAAATAAACAAAAAGCCTCCATTTCATTTAATATGTGTATACCTGTCAATTATTAATTAATTCTTATTTTACATAATTTATTTTTTTATATTTATATATATTTAAATAATAGATTTAACGATAAAAAATATTATTTTTCAGTGTTGCGACCTGTCTGGCAGTGACCTTCATGAAGCCAACCTACGTGGCGCGAACTTGAAGGATGCGGCGTTCGAGCTGATGCTCACTCCTCTTCATATGTCCCAAACTATTAGATAAACATATTACCCTTTACAAAACCCAAATTGGAGGTTTTTTTCTTGAATGACAACGGAATGGTTACCAGAAAGAAAGCAGAATATTTAGCGCGTCGTGACAAATTCACCAGGAATGAACTACGATGGTTTACAGGAAAGATCACGTGGATGCAACTTGACAGGATATATTATTGGCATTGGAACTAACCTTCTCATTATTCGCACAATCGCTTCCATCTTCTATCGGAGGTTGAACAAGATAAGGTGGTGCTACAGCCAAACCTCTAACATCCCCCTAGAAACCATCGTGCTGAATTCACGATGGGCTAACTGATCTGTCTTTTTATACTTACCTATCATGTTTCTCTGGTACCCCGCCAGCATATATCGTTAGCGCAGGCGAGGTTACCATTCCATTATCATTCATTAAAAAAACCTCTAACGCGAGTTCTTCAGCCAAGAGTGTGGCCTTTTTTTGTTACTTTATACATTCCTCATGATGAGATTAAATAACTACATTTCATAAACATTTACACAGAAAAAACTTGGAGCTTATGAACTAGATTTTTCTTAAGCCTATCTTTTTATCTATTATTTTCAATGTCAAAATACTGAGTCATAATGACCGGTATGTTCATCTTAGAATTGATAGCTTCATGATGTGGCCGATCATTTTAAGAAATAGTTGTATTTCATAATATGGAAAATACCCGCTGCTCACATCATGAAGTGCTCTGACCAGATCAATGAATAATCAGCGTTTGATGATATCAAAATCAAAACGCATCGCTACTTCATCATATGATTAAACATTAATGACTATATCGTAAAATAATTATACTATCCACCGTTAGAGGCGCTTATATTGTTTTCTTTTTGTGACGAATCATGGCGGCGGACAATTATTCTGATAAACAGCTAATAATAAAATGTCAAGTGAAGTGATAGATCTACAAAAAGCTACTTGAATTTTACAAAAGTAATTGAAATATAGAAGTCCTACATTAATTATATCTCCGCTTCCAGTTTCTTCATTTTGTATTTTCTGTGTAAGAATATAAATAAGGAATAAACCTACTTTAACTTACTTGATTTAATAAATGTTGTTTGTTTCAATTATCTTTTATTTCGAAATTATGAACTTTGCCTGCGCTTAAAGTGGTGGAGAGACGATAGGTGAGGATGAAAAAATCACTTGTGGTGAATTCGCCTGGAATTAAATACGACTCTTTCCGTGTGAACTGCGAGGAGGTTGACCTGGCATATGTAGATTACTAGCAATGAGCCTGCTTATCCCCATAACTAACAATCTCTCCCCCCGTGTTACATGCATAGACTTAGTATAACGCACTACGTGTTATATGGGTGGGGCGCTTTCCCCTATTAAGTATCTCCTATAAGTAAATATGAATTATAAAATCGTGGCGTGCCATCTCATCATACGGTAAATTATTGAAGTGTCCATCATTTGTGGCTAAATTATAAACAGTTTCGTATTGCACATCATATTTTTAGTGGTATTTTCAACTATTTAGGAGACTGCTAAGAACATTGTAAGACTGAGTAAATAATATTAGGGGATGATATAAAACATACTATGCTTACTTTGTAATTTGTATCCTCTTTATGGGTGTAAGCTTTTGTAATTGTCAAGATATCCTTATTTGATAAAGTAAATTTTAGTTATATCCTCATATTTATTATTATATCCTTAGATTATAAATTACAACGTTATATTTTTGTTTCAACTTTCAACCTTTCTTTTGTCTGTAGCCTGTCCAGATTATATCTGATATTTCAAACCCTCCTCAAAATTGTCATTACCTAAAAAAACAACATTATTTTAATGACTTATATTTGTTTAAAGTTGTAAAAAATAAATTTATAATAAATTTCAACCATGTTTTACTAATATATATAATAAAGAGCTAATGAGAAACTTGAATTTCTCCACCAGTTTGTTGATTCTAGGGTTAATTTTACATATTCGTCAATTTTTCTTCTGACACTGACTGATTACAAATGTATTGTGCTCTCCTTACCATATTTAAGATTATTTTTCAGGAGGAGGGCTGACCCTATACGCTTATTCGTCCCGTGTGGTTAGAAAGTTCTCCTTAGATTATATAGATAGAATGTCTCCATATCAATGCTTTCCGAAAACATATCAACTTTTTTATCCATATTTGCATGAAGAGTTACTAGTTTGTATAGTTAATACTAATTAAGTATTCAAATCTTAGATATGTGTACGTTTTACTAAATTTATGATTGAGATTCGCATATATTTTTTTATGATGTAAATCGAATGGCTACGTTAGCGACCCAATTGTGAAGGAGGATAGATGAGAATGAAATCAAGCCAGTTATGAATTCATCAGGAATTAACAATGATGGTTTCTAGGGGTGACCGCGTGGAGGTCGACAAAAATTAAATTAACTGATTGAATTTTGACACATTTTTATTACTCGAGGGTTTGTTTCTATAAGCGTTATGCCTACTACCTACCTAAGAAGATATAATTTCTTATGATCTTACTGTACGCATCCATAATATCGTTGTGAGAAAGTATCTCCGTACTATTACATACCTTTTACTCTCCTATTATAAAAAAACAACCATTACAAGTTTTATTTAGAACTACAGTACATGTCTTAAGTATAAACGCCGCGCTGAAGGAATTTTAAATTTGCCGCCATACAAGAAACCACCATTGCGATGCGTTTTCGAATATATTTTTATTCTGCTTCTCTTCATATTATACTCATTTTGTATTTTTAAACGTCTTGGTTTTTTAAATTGGCAAGATTTAGATCTAAATATGTCTTAACGTTGATTTTATCTACAATAATTACATTAATATTTTATAATATTTTAAAAATATGGGTTAAAGAACATGCATGTGAGGTTGAGAACGCACCCATTTTTTTATTATGTTGACAGTACTCGCGGTTTATGCTGTCAAGTTGGATGCATTTGTTTTTTTATTCGCGTTCTATTTTTGTGTGTGACGGTTCCGTCCGGCGAAGAATTGTCTTATTTTCCAAATAATTTTCATGATTTTTGTTTAGATCGTTGGATTATTTGTAAAATATCTTCAGTTTGAGAACAAATTCCAATATGCAGAACGGAGACGGTGCGCCGACGGCCGCGGAAACCAGTAAGTTTCACATTTTGTTGTCAAATAAATGGAATAACAATCATTGTAGCGCTGTTTTCTTGTTATTTTGGAGAAAATACTGTACTAGAATCATTAAAAAGTAGCTAATTAAGTTTCTTTTGCATTGTACCTTATTCTTTGTGTACCCACAATAAAATGCGTCTAAAATTAATGCGATCAAAAGTGCACTTTTATTGATAAATGATCGGAATTGAACTGCATTAAATTCGTAATTTCACTTGCGTTTAATTGTTTCGTGCATTTTCTATTCCGATTTGAGTAGTTTCGTCGGCTTATAATTATTGATACTGTGGGTAGCTTAATTGGAGTGTGAACATGAGTCACATTCTTGTGTACAGCCCACTACTTTTCGTAAAAATTATAATTTATTGGATAATTTATTTGCAGTAAAATGTATATCTAAAGCAAATCGTGAAAATATGGTGCGAAAAATCGAATAATGGTGCATGTATTCTCTAAACATTATTGTCTAACTACCTACACAATAAATATAAAAATGTCAATTTCTAAGGTCATTATTTTCTATTTGTTCTGATTCATCATTATGAAGGTCTTCTAATGATGCAAGATCGGTATTACCTCATCAAATTCATATTTTACTTTACAGAAACTTTAATTTAATAATCACTAGGGTTTATACCTTATTATTTAGTTACTATTAATATTAATTTTGCATTTACAATAATGTCTCCATCATAAATTGTCTAATATGTTTAATACTTATCTAATAATCCAACTGCATTTCAAAACTATTATTTAAGCTTACTTAGTGTACACAAAAATATTGTTAGATACTCAAATATTTTGTGTGTGTGTGTGTGTAGTTATAATCAGTAAAGCCTATGTAGGTATAATAAATTAATCTCATATTTTTATTTTTCTCTTTTATTACTTAACTCTCCATTTACTTATTTTTTTAGTAATTGGTAATATTATAAATTAGTTTAAGAAGCTAACAAAACTACTGATTATGTACACAGTACTTTAATATTTTGGGTGAAGTGGTAATTAAAGAATAAAATAATTAATTTTGTTAATTAATATAATAGTTTTAATTTTACTAATAAATAAGTAGTAGTATTTATTTAGCAAAAGCCAATAGTTAACACATTTTAAATATGAGGGAAGGTGGGTATACTTATTAATATTAATTTGTATTCTACCTACTCATGTATAAAAAATATACTGGTATATGTATTGTTTTTCTTATATATTTTTTTACCTTGGCATATATAGTAAGAGGATATCCAATTAGTATTTTTTTTAATCTAGATTGTAGACCTCCCCCTTTGGTAAATTGTGATGATACTTCTCCAAATCCCACCCTACCCTCCTTATATGAGATTTATTAAAGGGATTTTAAATAATAGAATTTATTGTATATGTTGATGTATTTTGATTGTTTTATTTCAGTAAAATAAAAGAAGAAAAAAAGGTTTCATGAGATTATCATTATTTTGGGATTCCCATCCAACCATTTGCACAATATTTTAAAATATGTGATTAGCGAATTGCCATGGCTTCACTTTTTTTTTTTCAGTAAAATACAAATAATTACACCATGTTACCTATATATGTAGCCACATGAACGCATGACACAATATTTAAAATTTTATTAAGTATTTTTGAGTTTATTTGTTACAAACAAAAATATTTTTTTTCTTTGTAATGTCAGTTTACAGAATAATAATGTAATTTATATACAATAATCAAATTAATCTAAATGATAGTAGTAGGTTCCATCCCTGTATTAAGTATTTTATTATGCTCTGTGAAATATAGACTTGTCAAGTGTTACATTCATCACAACAATAATGGACAAATGTCTCTGACTATCCCATTAAAGATTACAGTCATGAGCATATATGTTAATTATTACATAGAAGTTAGAATTTGGTATTGTTTCACATTGCCAATGAGATACATTGGTATAAGGAGTTTTAAAAATTAAATGTACTTAGCTGTTTCTATTAATAATATTACATACATAGATACAAGTGTATCAATACCATATTATATACTAGGTATGTATAGGTAAACACAGGTGTTGTATTTCAAGTCACTGATGTACAATCACCTTGAGTTATGAAGCAAATTTGCTATATGTAATGTTGATATAAATTTGGTAGTAAGATACTACTGAATTGTAGTGTTTTAGTTTGAAACTACCTTTTTTTTTTCGTTAAATATTAATTTGTTAAATTAAAACAATTTATGCCTAAATTTTGTCCCCTAAAAATGCAACCTGTTTGTCTTATATTTGTAAAAAATCTATCTGTATATTTGTAAAAAAATATCAATTATAATATTATTATGTTTTCAGATAAGTGTAAGTATTAAACTTTATAAAAAAAAAATTGTAATATTATTTTCATTGCATTAACAAATAGTTCCTCATTCTACTATTATATATTTACTATGATATTATTATCTTAAGCTTAATTCATATTAATAGCTCTGTCTATTAATATTAATAGTCTTCAAAATTATTTATTTACCAACTAATGTTTTTATATTAAACTAGCGTTGTATCTGAGCTATATCAGATAAATTTATTTATGATTTTTGAGAAAAATCTATTTTTTTATATATGGTAATAGAATGGTAACCCTGTCTGTGCTATTTATATGCACTTACGAGGCTGTAAGGGATGATAATAGGTTAGTCAGTTATCAACACGAATTTGTTAAGAATTAACAGTGATGGTTTTCAGGGATAAACCATGTGGAAGTCGACTTGACAGACTTTACTGTTTGTGGGATATGTATGGTTCACCTGTGATGAAATCTAATACAGGGTCTTGACGCTGTATTTAATTAAGTTGAAGTGGTTAAGTTTGTAAAGATATTTGTTATTACATCATAAATAAATTGATAAACAGATTTAATAGAAATTTGATACCATACCCTGAATTGACAAATATTTTTTGTCTTAATTCATTCAGCCAAAGCGATCAGTTACTGCTAGTTAAATATACAAAATATATATTTTGTATGTACTAATTTTTTTAAAAAATAAAGAAAATAAAACGTAAATGATACAATCTTTCTTACATTCCTGCTTCACTATAGCTTTTTTTTTTAAATTTCTTTTTAACTATAGAACCTATTAATAAAATTTCAGTTTCCATGACCAATAGTTTGTGCGATGTGTTCATACGTTTGTGACTTAGTATAAAAAGGCCTAAGCCCAAACTTTTTCAATTTACGGCATACTTTCGAGCTTATTTGAACTCCTTAGTCAAAAATACTTGTATATTTCTTCATTCGATTTTTTTCGTCATCACTAGGCAAAAAGAGTCTATACAGCCATTTGGGTCGATTATGCTTAATTTTTAATATAAAAGTTTCTTTGCGATTTTACGTACAGAAATTAAAAGAAACAGAATCGGCACACAATGCAGTAGAATTTATACACAAGATATATTTTACACTAAAAATATAATTTTCCGAGTCTAAAAACTTTTTTTGTACTATATTGGGAACCCATGAAATAGTATTTTCATGTTATCAGTTTTATGGATCTTTGAACCAAAGATTTTTTTTTTATTTTTGTCTATATATCTAGTATATCTATACTAGGTAGACGGAGGTACTGAGTATTAACGGCGTCATTTTTTGCATATCTTTAGCCTTATCTAGAATTCCATATTTATTAATAAACAATTTAAATTGCATTGATAAGATCTCACAACCGTTACACGCTGTTTAACTGATTTTCTAAGGACGTTTTCAATTCATATTAATTTTATTGTGATTAATGATTATTTAACTTTGCGATTATTTTGTGATAGATAGGTTTTATGGGCAACCTTAGTGTCTTGTTTTCTTATTATGTGACTAGACTTAGTTACAAAATGCGTGTCGTTTTGATTTTCAACCGATTTCAAAAAGAAGGAGGTTTTCCTAAAAAATACAAACGAAAAATGGTTGTATTTTTTTATAACATATTTGTTTACCTCATAATTCTCCATCAGTTACAAATACAATACAATACTTACAAATTGGTCCCATAGAAATTTTACCAAAATTGGTTTAGTAGTTTCGCTTTAGATCAAAATGACTGGTTTTGTCACAGTTGATATCAGTTGTTTTTCACACACAATTTTTAATGGTAATAAATTATAACATCATTTTCTTTGCAAAAAAAAAACTGCCTGTTGCGAAGTATCTTTGCAGATTCGATTTCGCTTTTTAATTAAAATATTTTAATTAAAGAACTATACGACATTTACGCCAATCATTAGCAATTTAAGTCGTTGATTTTTTGCAGAGCAAAATATACTTATTACTAAGTTTGTCCTAATTTCTCATTTATCTAACGCTGAGCCTGTTGGCAAGGCATACAATTTTCTCTGTAACATATAAATAAATTATTTCCAGCCAAAAAGCCCGTGCCAGAAGAGGTGACGAAGCAATCGTTCCGCGTCAAAGTATGGAGACACCTGGAGACGAATGGCTTGGCGATGTTCCCTCGTCCAGTATACAATCGAATTCCGAACTTCAAAGGTGCCTTCGAGGCAGCCGCTAAACTCGCCGAGCTAGATGTGTTCAAAAACGCGAACACTATCAAAGTGAATCCAGACAAACCACAGGAGCCTGTGAGGTTAGTAAGGAATGCATAACGGTATATAGTCCTGAATAATGTTTTTTTATCTGTGCAATAACAAAGTAAAAATGTAATATGCTACCACTCCTTTTCAGCCGACTTAAAAAAAGAAAGAGGATCTCAATTTAGTGGTATATTTTTTTGTTTGTTACCTTATAACTCCGTCAATTTTAAACTGATCAAATTCTTTTTTATTACTCGATCCCATATAAATTTTATTAAAATCGATTTAATAGTTTAGTTTTTAAATCAAAATAACTGGTTTTACCACAATTGCAGTCAGTTTTTTTTTTTTATGAAACAATCTTATATTACCCTGACAATTAGGTAAATATCTCGTTCTTGAAAATTGAGATTATATAGATAGATAATTTATTTTCATTACTTAAAGAACATAAATTACAATACAAACAATACTAATAATATAATTACTATTATAAATGCGAAATTTTATTAGCATGGATTGTTGTTTGTTACTTTTTCGTGTCAAAAACTACTGAACGAGTTTGAATAAAATTTGGTACACGGATATTTTACATTTTAATTTACCATATATGATACTTTATATGGAGTGATGGGCAGCAGCGGTTACCAATCTGCCTGCCAAGCGCGGCAGTTACTGGCAAAACCCCCAATGGGGGAGGCTTATGTTCAGCAATGGACAGCAGTCTGATATGATGATACTTTATATATTAATTTATGAGGGCGAAGAAACGATTTTCAACAAACAAGCTGTCTTTCACATTTATAATATTTGTAAGGTGAAAATACTAATGACTCAGTACTTTGTCCATTAAGTAATGAATAGTAAAAAAAAAAACGCTGAAATAGTACGTACGGCGCGTTCCAGTGCGCAAGCGCATCTAGTGCATTACGCAAGCCATGACCGATATCTTGAGTAATGCATTCCATATCGAGTGCTATAACTTTCTTGCATTGTTATGTAAAATAACGTTAGACTACAAAAATAATTGCGATTTGGAGATTTTAATTATTATAATTTAATTATAGATCATCAAAAAATTCAAAACATCGTAGGTTAGCGATTTACTGTTCCGATTTAAAGACCTATTTAAGTGGCGACTGAGTATTCATGGCTCATCACACATTGTCGCAAGACTAATGTGTAGACAGGTATAGTCTACAGAAAAAGTCTAGTTTAATAATAAATTTTCTATTATATTACTAGAAATAGTACAGTGGTGAAAGGCTGGTTGAAATTAACTAAACTGTCTAGAAATCTTGCTTATAAACATTTTCTTGCATGAATGGATATTGGTGTCGTTTCTGATGTACTTATAATACATAATAGGTAGTAAATAAGTCTGTTCGAATACTAGAAAAAAAAAGATAATTGATTTGCTTTAAAATTATAGAACACGTTCGATTTATTTTTTTAAAGTCAATTTATTTGGTGCATATTGATTGATAAGGCTAAAAGTCGCCTATGCTCTTCTCCCTACTGTATAAATACTGTGTATGCTAAATTTCGTGACGAGTAGTTGAGTCGTTACTACGCTAAAAGGTACTAAACAAGTTTATTGTTACATTTATTAGTAACGGTTAAATCGAAATTCTTACATGCTTTTATGTATTTCGAATCACATTAATATAATAATGTTTCGGTCTATTGTATAGAGGAGTAAACGAAATTGCTCTATATCATCATCATCATCATCTTATCAGCCGTTAACTGTCTATTGCTGAACATAGGCTTACCCCATAAGGGGAAGGTGGAGGGTTGCCAGTAGTTGCCACGCTTAGCATCCGGATTGGCAATTTTTAGTGATGTTTTAAGAGGGACACTACTGCCCATCCCTTGACCATTAAGTTCTCTTACTCAAGTCTTATGACATCCACGGAATAGAAAGAGCACTCTCTGTATAAATTTACATAATCCTTACTAATATTATTAATGGGAAAGTGAATTTGTTTGTTTCTTTATAGCGCCTTAACGGTTTAACCACTTATTACCATCCATATTTATAGGTAAAACCTCACTACATTTTCTTCTTTCTTTTGCAACACCTACCCATACCACAAAAAACAATTATTTTGTATTACTGGCGGTACTTTAAAATTTCCTAAAGTACTCATTTTTGATCTTATCCATTCTTGTCGCACCACACATTTATCTCAACTTTATTATTCCCTGATGACAATTGTATTTTAATGATGTATTCTAAAATATTACATGTTTATTACCATAATAAATGTGTAACTTTTAGGCAAGTAAAGGCAATATACCTACGTCTTAGATCCCCGCAAATCCAAAAAAAAAATACGCTTCAGCCATATTTCCATAGAGTACAACAAATAATATAGATTAAACCCTTTGTTCAATCAATAATTTGTTTCATTAACAGTAGAAATACCCACCAATTAATTAAGAAAATTAATAATGCACCGTACATTTGAATTTATCAAACTGATAACCTATAGTCATATTAACTGCTTGCCTATTTTACTGTGTAAAATGATAATGAAATTTTAACAGTATTTGGTCATGATTTTCAATGTTGTTTAAAAAAATATGTATGGGGCGAAACCTTAGTTCTCTTCTATATGCGGAATATTTTAAAGGTTTTACTCAAATCTTCTATCTTTCTCGGGTATAAGTAAGTTGTTTTCAGGCAAAACATAACTGTACTGCATATTAGTTCTGAAGATCAGCGATTCCTAAAGTGGATTTCGCGGAACTTAGTGTTACTTATTTATCACCATTGTTGTGTGAAATTTTGTACAGTGAAACAATTTTATTATACACATTAAAACTTAAAGAATAAAGTATTTAACTTTTAAAATATTTCCAAAAAACAGTTTTTGTTATTTAAATTACGGTGTCTTTGAACCATTTGATAAGAGGTTTTATAAAATAAAAGGTATTTGGTGGGTATTGGGTTGACTTAAAAGTTTAAGATCATAATATAGATACTTATGACACCTCAGGTTTTTTTATTGGCCCACCGAGTTTGAATTAAAAACGTATTCAAGATGCTATCAAAAAACTCGAATAGGCAATAATAATAACTCAATTTTTACTCATATCAATACTTGAAAGTTATAACTTTAGATATCTAAATAGAGAATATGGGTTATAATAGATACATATTGAATGCATTCATATGTAATTCATTCTTAGATCCTTTTTCGACATTTTTATTTAAATATCGAAGTTAAACGAAGATTACTTCAAAATTTTCTATCATGATAAATCTTTACTTCTAGAGTAATATGCCTAGAGCAAGAGAAGACCTTATATGTTCCGGTACCACGCCTGCAAACTGGATTCCTCAATCGTTTGGAACTGCCAGAGGGGCAGACAGGTCCGGCTGCCATAAGGCAAGCTGTCTCACGGAATGGCATGGAGACATATGGAAAACCTATTGGTAATATTTTACGCATCTTTTGAAAAAAAAATTGTGCAATTAATTCCATAGGGCACCAAATTAGTTTAATAATATAAATTAGGTTATATGCATATTTTTTTAATATATTATTCATTGCTCTTAATTAACATATTTATATTATTATTCTATTTTAAACGCAAAAAAAGATCTTTAACGCATTTATTACATTTCTAGTGTTGTAGTATTTGATTGCTTTGGTCGTTAGTACACATTTATAGCTAATTTAATATTATAATTTATAACAGGAATAGAAGATTCCGTTTCACTAGATCTGGTCGTTATGGGATCTGTGGCAGTGTCCAAAGAAGGGTATCGCATTGGCAAAGGAAGAGGTGAGTACCCGCTTATTTAATATATTAATAATTTAAATTATTTTTAAATTAATATAAAACTTAAAAAGATATATACCGTAAATCTGATCATGTCTGTATTAGCTGTATTCGAATCTATAATTAAATAATATTGTAAATTGAAAACATTTTAAAATTCGTAACTCCGCTTTTGGTGATTCTAATTAAATAATTTTTCATATTTCTAATTGAAAATTTTAAAAATGCTGTTATAGGTAACTAAAACATATTATATATTATTGTTCTTATTAAACTATCCCCAGAATTTTATAATATTAAGTGTTTTGAAACTTTAAAGTACATGATTCAAAATAGTTGCCAATTTTTTAGTCATAGATTTATGTGTAATTCTATAATTAACCTTTATTTGACCATTGGATAATACGTCGTGTTTTTTTTTAACAGGTTATGGCGATCTGGAATTCGGCCTAATGATGCACATGAAAGCGATAAAGCCTAATACAGTTGTAGTGACCACTGTTCATGATTGTCAGGTAGGTTAACGTTTTTATTTAGAGAGAGAGAGAGATAGAAATATGCTTTCTTTACATTACATTTAGATAACATATTTCATAGTATGTCGATAGTAGTATCTTACGAATATAAAAAAATGGTAACTAGAACGATATCTGTCATAGGGAATATTTATGAAAAATTTATATAAAGGGTCTTAATAAGGACAATAGAAGTTAAGAAAATATTTTTTAGAAATTTTATCTCTGTATGTTTGTTCTGGCTTCATGCATTACTTGCATTATGCTTACTGCATGTAGAATTTATTAAACACCTACACTTATTTCCTTATAATATTGTTAAACCTAATATATGCATATATTACAAGTGAATGTACAAAAGCATATAAATAAATAAATAAACATTTAAAAACGCAATATTGAAGTCAGTTTGTGTACCTTCAAATTGATAATGCCCTGTACTGGAGCGGTTCAATGTGCACGCGCATACAACTCATTTAAATAGATTTTCAACTAACTTCAAAAAGAAGGAAATTCTCATTTCGATTTATGTTTGTTATCTTGTCTTTGCCAGTTGTGACCGGTTTGAAAAAGGTTTTTTTTTTATTAATTTATCTGAAAGCGTATACAGATTGGACCCACAGAAATTTTATTGAAATCGGTTTAGTAGTTTAGTTTTTAAAATAAAATAACTGGTTATAACACAATTGAAGTAGTTTTTTTTTTGTTTGTGGAATACAATCTTATTTATCTTTTTAATATTTTCATTTTCAAATAATGTATATATATATATATATATATATATATATATATATATATATATATATATATATATATATATATATATTTGTGTTTACAGGTGTTCGATACATTACCAGCTGAGTTGTTTGGTCCTCATGATGTACCAATCGATATAATTGTCACACCAACACAGGTAAGCAACCGCTCTTTCGTCCACTGCTGGACATGTGTCTCCCCATTATTTCGCCACAGAGTATGGCTTACAATCATCTGCGTCTACCTACTCTGTAGCACTTTTCAGATCATCCGCTCTAAATCTATCTATCATTGTTTATTGTAATCTTACTCCTACATAAGTATTTCCCTTTTTTTGTCTTTATATTACTGAATTTCGATAACATATGTACATATATATATGTGACATCCCAGATCAGACAGACAGGAAGACTTTGTGTTTGCATGGCTGTATTTTGGTTTGAAGGGTGGAATAGGGCAATTAATTTACAGGGTACAGAGGAATAACACCTAAGTCCTCAGGAATGGTAACGCATGGAGTGTATCGTGAGCGACACAGTATACTCTGTCATGTCCATGGTACTGCTCATGTCTATATCCAACCGTTACCACTTTTCATTAGGTGAGCCGTCAGCTTGTTTGCCATTCTAAGTTGCATAAAAAAACCCCTGTTGTTGCAGGCGTCCATAGGCTACAGTGACCGTTTACCATCAGACGGGCTGTATACTTGTTTGCCATCTTTATTATATAAAAAAATATATATATAAATTAAAATTAAATTAAAAATGTATTTATTGGAACCATAAAAAATACAAAAGTAGGGTAGTGTACGATAACAACCACATTAGTTATGTTTATGTATTTGCCATTTTGTTATAAGTAATTGTTTACTTTCGAGGCGATTTTCCTAAGTTTGATGCCAGTATAAACTTTTGTATTTTATAATAAATATTTATTATTATTGAAAAATAATAAAATTATCGATTGTATTCAGGTGATAGAAACGCAACGTATGAGTCAGCGACCAGTTGGTATCCTATGGCACCTGCTCTCCAACCGCCGTCTCCAGATGATGCCAGTGCTCGCACAATTACGAGATATTGAGATGCTGTGAGTACTTGCAGTTGCATTATTTACATTGTCATTACAATACAATGATATTTAAAGAAAAAAAATGGATTACGTTACAAGCAAATCGTCAATGCAACTCGGTGTTGACGGTTATTAGAACTATTTTAATGAATGCAATATAATAAAATCGTAACTGGTCGCTCTCTGTACATTGAAGATATATAAGAAAAACTATTATAACCCAAAACAATGATTTTATAAATTTTATCTGTCTGTACGTTTGTGCACGCTAATCTCAGAAACGGATTAACCGATTTGAATGCGGTTTTTACTAATGTGTTGTGGTTTGCTTCACTTAATATCTAGTGTATAAATAAAAAAGTTATATCACATGTTATGCTATGTTATATTACCAATCAGTTAAATTGGCTAAAACTTTTTTTTTTATTATATGTATTGATTTTCGAAAGTTCTATCTTTTTATTTACATTTTAAAATTATTTAACAATTTGATAAAATGACTTTGTGCTGTTGTTGTCTTTGGAATCTTTTTTTTTTTTGTTTTAGTGTATGTCTTTAATAAATCATCGTTTCAACCATTTGTTGACCACTAGTGTGTATAATATTTATGTATATGGATCTTCATTGACAATGCCTGTTATATACTTTCATATATTTGGTACTTATAATAAACAATCTTATGGTTTATAAAAGGTTTGTATGTGTATTTGTATCCGAGGCAGGATGCTAAACTAATATTATAAAGAGGAAAAATTTGAATTTATATTTCTAATGAATATACAGAAAAAAAATATTTGACTGGTTTGAGAAAATTCTTTCACTTATAGAAAGTTATATTTTTGTTTCATTACAACATGGTTTGTTTCAATACAACAAATTTTGTGATCGACGTAACAATATAACAGTTCCATAACACAGTTTGCTGATGTGCATTTGTACAATAGTAGTACAAATTAAATATCGATTTACCAATTTAATATTTCGATTTATTACTAATTTCATTTGGACCGTGTTTCTGTGATAATTTCAACAAAACTCGATTGCTTTAAGTTGTATTGAAACAGACTACACCTGTCAACCGGTGCAAAGCCGGAGCGGATGACTAGTATAGTGACGGTATGTGTGGTGTGTGTGTGTGTAGCGCGGGCCGCGCATGCGCGCTGAAGGAGGTGGACACGGACGTGGAGGAACGAGCACCCGCGCGCCCGCGTCGTCCGCGTCGACGCACGCGCAGTCACAAGAGCCACAGCGAGGGGGAGGTCAGTTCACATCATGTATTTACTCATTCAGTAGCCTCTACACGCCGCTTCGTCCATGTCACTGTCTTCATTGTCCCGCATAAAAAGCCTCTGTTCCCCTTTATCCTACATAGTACATATATCTATATCAAATATCATAGTTATTAATGAAGTCGTTAAGGCACTAAGAAGTGGCAAAGAAACAATCACTTTCATATTTAAAATATCGGTAAGGACTCATACATTCATTTGTTTGGTTATCAACAGTTATGTCAATATTTCCATTCATGATTATTTTGTACTTAGTATGATTACTTACAGATAAACAAAATATGTATTTTAATTATGGTGATTGTTAAAGTATAATAGGTTCTTTGATAATTATTATGTAGTTTTGAACAGTGTTCAAATGTCATATTGTCATTCATCGTGATTGATATTTAATTAATTACTCATGATAGGCCAACTGATTTGATGAGGATGACCTCATCTATCATATCTTACTGGTACTATCCTGCCAGCGTATATAGCACAAGTGGGATCATTATTCTATTTTTGTTCATTAAAAAAATCTTTCATAATTGATTTAATAAAAAAAATCAAAATTAGGCACTAAGCGACTAAAGCGACGTTAAAATAGTGTGAATAAGAACTAAATTATGCATTTATTTTAAATCTAAAAAACTCAGTTAACTTTCTAAAACATCCATAACAATCAAGAGCAATAGTTGATAAAAACCAGTTAAAGTTATATTGAATTATCCAAAATACATATTTAAATCATTCAACAAAACCTATTGTCATCAAAAAGTATCCCTCAAATGATTACCAGAGATAAATTAATCAAAGAAATAATTTTAACAGGGCAATACAACAGAAGGCGAGGAGGTGAAAAGTGGTAAACAGCGACGACCGGCGCGCCGTCGTAATAGTAATAAATCGGCGGGCAAAGACGGCAAAGAGGGGAAGGACGGCGACACACGTCCAAGACGTCCAAAGCGGCCGCGTCCCGTCATTGACTTCACTGTTAAGGTAGTCTTTAATAAAGATTTATTTATCTGCTTAAGTGAGTTCATAGGAAAGTATACTGAAAGCGACCTAAAATGTTAACGTTTTTATTTTTTACAAGCTTTTATTTATATAATAACACGAACATTTTAAATCGATTGTGCAATACTCATTATTGCATTTCAAAATGGCCGCCGTCACAAAATGGCGGATTATGTATTTCTTTTTTTGACCCGTTTAATATGAGTTTCAAATGAAATATCTTGAAAAGTTAAAAACAAAGTATGACTCAAAACGTCAAACTGATGCCATACTAAATTCAATATGACTAGCGTTCTAAGATGATAGCTTATATTTTATAAGCTTGTTTTTAAAAGTGTTTTTGAATACACTTGTTAATTAATATAAAATTATTTGATTGTTTGTGACACTTTACAATGTTGGGCCAATAAATTTTTTTAGTAAACCGAGTACCAAAGGCCCTTACGCATTGGTCATTTTTAGCTTTATATATTTTTAAGTCTAATCAATGCACTTTTATTTACTACATTTTTGCATATTATTGTCAACAGATATCAAACATTAGCCCAAACACAAGAGTGCGCGATCTAAAGCAAGCGTTATCGGAACGCGGTGTCAAGCCACAGGTTATGGTGTGGAAGGTAAGTAATACGTCACATTTATACATATAATAAAATCGTAACTGGTCACTGTCTGTACATGGAAGATATAAGAAAAAACTATTATAGGAAGGCTTTATGAACGCAATAAATAAAATAAAACCCAAAACAATTTTTAGAATTTTTGTCTGTACGTTTGTGCACGCTAATCTCAGAAACGGCTTATCTGATTTGAACGCGGTTTTCACTAATGCGTTGCAGTTTGCTCCATTTAACATTTAGTGTTTATTTCATCCGGTTCATAAATAAAAGAAGTTATATCAATCTAAAGAATTACATATAAAATGCTATGAAATAACCGATCAATTGAATTTGCTAAAACTTTATGGGGGTATTAAATACTTATCATTTAATTATATAATACAAGACCGGATTCATGAAGAGTTCTAATGGGAACTACATAGCTAGAAGTGGGCAGTGCCGCAGAAAACAGCTAGTTTATAAATATTCTTATGTTATTGGATAGTTTTATAATAATTTTATTAATTTATTAACTTTTTCGCAGGGCTTCCGAGGATTTTGTTATTTGCATTTCTTCAAAGCAGGACCACAAAAGGTAAGTATATCAACAAATAATCAAAATTAGTTATACTAAGTATATTTTTATAAAATATATAAATCGCGAACGTGTACTCTTAGATTTCCTATTCTAGATCTCTAATAGGCAAATACTCAACAGCATAAATTATAAGATCTCTGTCAGAGATAAGTCCACCCTTGCTCACAACATTTATAAATAGATTATTTTGTATGTAACTTACAAGTGCAATAAAGAATATATAATATAATAATTATCTGCATAATTCTGAAGCAATGAAAGTACAAAATTAATAGATTGTATCAGAGAGCTTAGAATCATATATTGTCATTTTAATCAATGTAGTAGCAAATTACTATAAAATCGTACTGTACTGCGATGATAAAATCATCCATTGTGTACGATTTTCAATGTTTGCTAACGACGTCAAACATATATACATATATAGTATTTATTCATCATTACAGATACGCAATCAAATAGACAAATGATAATAAGTCATTTAAACACTACTAATTATAATGTCATGTTTGAACGCTTAAGTAGCAGGACAGAGATACTGTTTAACTGGATGACTGTAATCTGACCTATGATCCACAAAGGCAATTGTATTTATCAACTAATTTTAAAAAGAAGGAGATTCCCAATTCGGCTGTATTTTTTGTTATCTCAACTCCGTCAGTTGTAAACCAATTTGAAAAAATAGTTTTTTTTTATCTGAAAGGATTGGTCTTATAGCAATTTTATCAAAATCCATTCAGAAGTTCAATTTTTATATCAAATAACCAGGTTGTATGTAAGAGATTGCTTTTAGCGATAAGGCCGCCTTTTGTATATGTACATTCTGTATAAATGCTTCTTGTATAAATCTCTTTTGTGCGCAATAAATAGTTTATTATTTTGTCACACCAGAGGGAGACTGTATAAAAGTCGTTTGCTCTCTGCTTCTCCCATTTGTGTTTCAACCGTGAAGCAGTTGTGTTTGCACGGCTGTGTTTTGATATGAAGGGTGGGATGTGGAGTGAATTTACAGGGTACAGAGGAATAACATCCGAGTCCTCGGGAATGGCAACGTATGGGGGGGGGTATCATGGGCGAAACAGTATACTCTGTTATGTCCATGATACTGCTCATGTCTATAGGCGACGGTTACCACTTACCATCAGGTGGGCCATCAGTTTGTTTGCCATTCTTATTTGTTTAAAAAAAATTGAGTAGATTTTTTTGTGGGAAAAACTAATTATGTTTTATATAACGGCGGCAGGGCGAAGGCGATAATGCGCCAGCAACGAACATGGAAAGCGTGTTGGCTGCGCTCGCGCAGATGTCGCTGGGCGGCAGCGGGGACGGGTCCGCGGCTGACGCGGACGACAAGCCGCGCATGCTGTGCGTGGAGCCCGCGCCGCCGCGCGCGCCGCCCGCCGCCGCCCACCCCGCCGACGCCGCCGACTCGGCCGACACCGCGCCTACACCAATAGCGCCGCCTGCCGCTGAGGTACTTTGATTTATTTAGTAGCTTTTACAGACGACAAGCCGCGACTGTTTTTTTTTTTGATGGGTGAAGATGGTTAGGTAACCCCGCCTGCGCTAACGGGATACGCTGGCGGAGCACCAGTGAAGGGTGATAGATGAGAATGAAAACAGGCCAGTTAGCCCATCATGATGAATTCATCAGGAATTAACCATGATAGTTTCCAGGGAGAACCGCGAGGAGGTCGCCCTGGTTGGGTATATTGCTAGCAATGGGATTCTCAGTCTACATTACTAACAATCCCTTTCCCCCCAGCCGCGACTGTTGTACATCGAGCTCGCCCCACTCGTACCCGTTTCTACTGAACCCGTACCAACTGACACCACCTCAACACCGCTTGCTCGAGGGAAAGCGGTTCTTAGTAATGTTAGCAATACATCCTATCAGGTCGACCTCCGCGCGGTTCCCCTGGAAACCATCATGGTTAATTCTAGTGGAATTCGTCACGATAGGCTAACTGACCTACCTTTTTATCCTTACTTATCCTTCACTGGTGTCCCGCCAGCGTATACCAATAGCACAGGCGGGGAAACCGTTCCATTATCATACATTAAAAAAAACACCCCTTGCTCTGCTGCGCTCGCTGCGACTGAACCAGCATTTACTGCAGGGAAGGGATTGTTAGGGATGAGGATCTAATATCTCCATTGCTAGCAATATTCTTTATCAGATCAACCTCCACGCGGTTCCACCTAGAAACCATCGTGGTAAAATCTTGTAAATTTTGTCACGATAGGTTAAATGACCTGCTTTCATTCTCACGTATCATCCCTCATTAGTACCTTGCTAGCGTATACCGATAGCGCAGGCGGGATTACCATTCCATCATCATCCATAAAAAAAGCCGCATCCATTGATACTGCTTCCATGTTCCTACAAGCACCATTCGCTCCGCCTGCCGTAGAATAATTTCTTTTATGTCGCAGCTTACCGAAGTGATAACGCTAGAATTATTCAATTCAACAATTGAACATGTTTTATTAATTCCAACTATTTAAAAGAATGCTCTGAAAGCGAACTAAAATGTTAATCATCCAACAATTTTTTTTTTAGAAATATTGCCTTTTTAGTAAATCTAATAAGTACATAAAATATTTGTGGTTGTTACAGGGCATTGTGCATTGACTCCCGGGAGCAGCAGCGACCGACACCATTCGAAGTATCGATAACGATTTATTATTTCTAAAACACGCATAACCGTTGTTCGCTTGGTTGCACACGGAGACGGCACGCCCGTCGCATTCCGATACTAATTGTTTAGAGTTAAGATTGATTTTCCTTTGCGCCGGTCCACAAGTTACTGTTTATTGAGTATACGAATGGCTCATACGTATTTGCCGCAAAAACATTCAACACTATGAATCACAGAAGCATTAGTGCAATGAAATGAATTGCTCCAATACGTAAAAGTTATACGTGTTGTTTAATCGAAAGGAAGCGATTGTTCGATTTTAGTTTGCGCTCGAACGTCAGTTCGCTGGCTGGTTTTTTGTTCTTATCAGTTGTGCTGGACCGGCCTCGTGTTAGAGAGAGAGTGAGCTATATTTATAGAAGAACACTTAACGAAATATATCTTTATCGATGTTTTAATTTTTCTCTAGTCTAAACTTAGTATACTGCATAAGAAGTTTTATTTACAACTCGTTTATTTTCAATGCAGGCATACGTTTTAAGCATTCTTCCATAATTATTACGAGAAAAGAAGCTATATTTTAGTATATAGTATAGAGATATTAAAAAGTAATATATTTTTTAATATACTTTTAAGGTGCTTTCAGGAGCGGGATCCCAAACCAAATTAGAGATTAGTTTGGAAGGATTTGATTAGTGTTAAGGGTATTTATTTTAAAATATGAGGTCTGTGACCCCGTTCTTCTCTTGTTATGTATTTGTGCCAACTTCAAGTACATGATGCAATAAAATGATCTGAAATTCACAGTTCTCATTAACTTGTAGTAGTCCTTTTGATGGAATATACTAATTTTAACATATCGAATCTATGTAAGTTGGTATAAATATTTAAGCTGGCTAGTTCCAATTTGTTCTATAAACATGATGTCATTGACTAAAAGGATACATTTTTTTTTTAAATAGAACCTACATACTAAAATTGAAACGCGAATTGTCTCAATAATGACGTTACGTCACATTCGAAAATTGACCTAATAATTATTAATTCCAACATAAATAGTATTAAGACGATCACTGTTTTATATAATATCATATAATAATATCAAAAATCAACAGTTAGCTATATAGTTGTACCAAATATTTAAACCGAAGACGAAAAAATGACAAAATTGCCACATAAATAAAATCCTTTTGTCAGGTGATGTCATGTTCTGCAGAATAAAGGCGAATTATCCCTTATACCCTTGATGTCAACGTTACTTTTTCAGTATTAGGTAAATACTTTAAGACTTAAAAAGTAATATATATGACATATTAAGTTAAAACTATTTATCTACTAGATTGTGCGGGCGCGTAGCTCGCATTTATTGGTCTCTTAGTATATAAAAAAGATGTGTATTTTATATAGAAAGGAACTATTTATATTAATGTATTTTTCGAAATTTTTAGTTTTGGCAGCATAATATCGCTATACATTTATGATAAGCATTTTCTAATATTATCTAGTAGTTACGTCGCACAAATTATTGTGCCCCAATATTGTTGTCTCACTCTGCAATTCTAAGCTATATATAAAGAAATATATATACATTTATGTATATAAACTTGTTAATTACTACTACTATTTGCTAGCTCATTTTGTAATCTAACGTTGGGGTAGCAAGCATGATGAAACTTTTTTGTTTTGTATTTTTTTTAATAAATTTTTTAAAGATGTTTTAGTTTTTTTTTTTTCTTTTTTTGAATATACCTTTTTTTTTATTCAGTATAAAGTCTATTTTAGGATAGTTATCTTGTAAAGATGTAACGGTACACCCATAAATTATTAGCTAAATAATCAACAATTAAAAGTTAATGTTGTGATTGTACTTTGAAATTTTGCCGTTTAGAGATTGAGGGTCAAATTAAATTCTATTTTTGTAGTGAACTGCTGTTTTACTTAAAATATTTACGCAACATATTTCCTGTGTCAAATTTCGTGATTTTGAAGTTTATTAAACCCGTACAAACGTGGAACCTTTTTTTATGAAAATAACTACCTTTGTGTTTGCCGAGTACTTACCATAGACTATATAGTCTATATTTTAAATCTACGTACACGAGTTCATTGTTCTTTGCCAAAATACAACGTACAAAATATTATGCTGCAACGCATTCGAGATTTAAAGTCTTCAATGATGTAACGCACAGTTTAGACTTCTATTAATTATATTCACTGGAAAAAATACGACAAAGGATTGTCTGCGCAGGCAGGTTCTGTTGATATGTGTTTGGACAAATGAGGACTTCACGAAGGACAAAGTAACCGGCATTGTTTCGCGCAATTAAAAATAATTATCATCACAATTGCTCTATTGCAGCCTACTATTAAACATAGGACATAGGCGTGTCTTGATCACGCCACTCGGCACAATCTTCGGTCCTTTGCTTTCAGTTACTACCCACCCTGTATATGTCGTCGCTTCATCTACCCGCAGGTTGTCCCACACTACGTTTTCGTTATAAGCTCATTCTAGAACACGTCTATTCCAACGGTTATTGATTTTTTATTGATGAAAAATACCATTCCATTAGGAATGGTAGCCCCGCGTGCCCTAACGGCGTACACTGGTGGTACACCAATTAGGGTTGATAGGTGAGAATGAAAAGGCAGGTCTTTTAATGGGTGATGATGAAATGGTAACCCCGCTTGTGCTATCGGTATACATTGGGGAGCACCAATAAGAGATGATAAATGAAGATGAAAGCAGGACAGTTAGCCCATCGTAACGAATTTAAGAATTAAACACGAAAGTTTCCAGGGGAGCCGCGTGGAGGTCGACCTGTCAGGGCACATTGCTTGCATTGCACAATGGCGATGCAAGAACCCATTACTAACAATCAATTTCCTCCCTTAAAAGGTAGGTCAGTTAGCCCATCGTGATGAATACAGCTAGAATTCAGCACGATGATTTCCAGGGGGGACCACGTAGCGGTTGATCGGTTATCACTTTCTATAAAGTGGACAGTCTGCTTGCTTGACATTATTTTTTTATATTATTGCTATTGTCCTTATTAATTTTTATTTTATTTTATTATACGACTTAGAATGGCAAACAAGCTGACGGCCCACCTGGTGGAAAGTGGTAACCGTCACTTATAGACATGAGCAGTACCATGGATATAACAGTACACACACATACTGTTTGCCCATGATACCCCATGCGTTGCCATTCCTGAGGACTCAGGTATTACTCCTCTGTACCCTGTAAATTCATGCCATACCCACCCTTCAAATCGAAACAGCCATGCAAACATAACTGCTTCACGGTAGAAACACGAATGGGACAGAGGTACCCAAGCAATCGACTTTTGTACAAAGTCTCCCTCTGGTAAAAATACACATTTGAAAATGATTTTGTTTGCTATAGCGACTTAACGACAACCAACAATTATGAAATATGATATACACGTATTATATGGGATGGAGAATAAGCTACTTTTTATTTCGGTCAGTAAACATAAAAGAAAAATATGATCAATACAAACTTTTTTATACAACTTGGAATGACAAACAAGCTGAGGGCCCATTTGATGGAAAGTGGTAACTTGCAAATTTATTGAGCTATTTCGGTAACTTTGGTCCTCTTAGTTTCGGATTCGATCTGACAGAGAAACTCCAAACATAGCTCTTTACATAGCTCCCTGAGCGACTTTCATTTGGCGGATTAGTCTTTCTTTAGTGATATACTAATTTGAAAATAATATTAATTATTAACAATCAACAATTTCCAAAAGGACAGGACACGATCCGTCCACCCTGATGAACAGCTATCATACTTCTAACATCATAGGCATTATTCATCCGTTGCCGATCTTTATTATGACAATTTATTATGAGTCGTGCTAAAAAGGGAGAAAGGGATTGATAGTAAAGAAGACTAGCGGCCCCATTGTTAGCAATATACCCTGTCAGATGGACCTCCACGTGGTTCCCCGTGGAAACCATAATGGTTAATTCTTTATATTCATTATGACGGGCCGACTGATCTGCTTCATCCTCACTGGCGTCCCGCCAACGTATACCGATAGCGCAGGCGGGGTTATCATTCCATTATTGTCTATTAGAAAAAAAGTCGTGCTGGAAAATACCTGCAAGTTAGCACCACTTGTTAATAGATACAATTAGTATTGTCACAATACACATTTGTTATTGTAGATCTGTATCTAAGTAACAGGTATAGTACAAAACATGTTACATTATCAGATCAAACATGCAAAGTGTTACATATAAATATTGTCATTTGGCCATTTATATCATTTTGTCGAACTACTTCAAACTTTCATATACCTACTTAAAATGTTTCTAATTATTGCGTTATGTTTTATTAGTGTTTGCAATGGTCAAAATGGCGTAAGTACCTAAAATTTTATGGGTAAGCCCAACACAATGTACCTAGCTAAGTTCTGATGAACCTTAATTTTTTTTTGTAATGGTTCAAAATATTCTATATAAGACATTGAAACTTTAAAAAAGAGTATATTCCTTCCTAAAAGGCTGGGAACACATGCAATTTCTTTGATGTTGCAAATGCCTATGGGCGGCAATAATCATTTATCTCCGGGTGAACCGCATGCTTACTTGCTCCTTATGTTATATAAAAAAAGAAATAAGATCCTATAAGTAAATAATAGCAATGGGGTCCTCTTTGAGGGACACAATTTCACCAGGTGGACCGTCAGCTTGTTTAAAATTATAAATAAAACAAGAAACTTGTCTTAAAATAGGTGTTTATATTCTAGCCCGAGGTAGAGTATGTGATGAACTTCGATTCTCCAGTACACGTCTGTTTCGATGAAACCAGCAGTATGTATGTCGATACCTCCGGAATAGAAATGATAGATTATAACGATACGACGTCGTGTATGACCGGAGTTATCAAGTTCCTTCAGAATGTTGGCGAAAATACTATGGTGAGTTATTTAATTGTAAAAACAATTTTAGAAATGAAGCAGAGCAAAAAATACCTATTATCGAATAGACTAGAATTAAACATTCTATCTATTCTCCTTTAACACCTGCAATGCCGTAGGTGTTGTGGGTGATTATGGGCGGCGGTAGTCACTTACCATCAGGTGAGTCGCATGCTCGTTTGCCCCCTGTGTTGTAAAAAAAAAAATCAAAAGTTGTCTGTAAAAGTTTACATTAGCGATAAGACCGTCTTTTGTACTTTTATGTAATATATTTTAACCTGTAATTTATGTTACTGTAATTCAATTATTCAATTGTCATTGTTATAGGTATTTTTGTGTTTCTGGTGCAATAAAGAGTTAAATAAAATAAAATAATACATTCGAACTATTCTGAAGATTTCTTTTTAAACGCCTTTCTAAATCACCTCTCACGATTCCTAATTCATTATACTAACGTATTAAATGTGAAAGTGAGTCTGTTTTTTTGTCTGTTTGTTACTTCTATGGCACTTAATGTGAGTAAATAGATATAATGTAATTAAGTACCAATAATTGTCTTTACAGATAGAAATAGTAATTGAGAAAGAAGTGTCAGGTCAGTTCGAAGTGATGGCGACGCATCTTATCTGCGATTTGTGTGAAGAGTTACATCCAGAAAGTAATTATTATAAATACTTGCAATATTTTGGATTTCCAGATAACTGTCCTTTTGAAAGTGTAAGTATAATATCATAGTAATTCATGGATTCATAGAAAAATTCATGATTTTGTTCTACAGAGAAAGCCCACTTCAAAATTAGTATGTGTAGGTGTGGGACGAATCCTGGACAATGTTTATCATTTAAAATTGAAATATGATTTGTCAAAATCAGTTGCTTTATTTAGCATACCTAGCTTATTATGGTATTTGGAACACCGTTGATATATTTTTCAAACTTAACAGGGTAGGATCATATAAAAACATCCACATTAAATAGGTATAATTAGTGTCGTGTGATTCCGGCATAGAATAGGGGTATCTTACCCCTTCTTTATTCATGGGTATCATAAGAGATAACTAAGGGAACATAAAACATCACCAAGGCGTTACTGCAATTGTCAACCCGTCTGCCAAGCGTGGCAACAACTGGTAAATCCCTTTAATAGGAGAGGCTTATGTTCAGCAGTGGATACTTAACGGCTGATATGATAGGTATAATAAGGAATGACATTGAACTAAAAAAAATAGAGGTATATTTCTTTACTGTACTCTAGGATACATAAATAATTCATTTTTACTTTGCTTAATTATACATATCTTAATCAGACTTATACACAAAAATGTAAGTTGCAAATAACTTGATGGAACGCTTAGACATTAGTATCACAGTATATACTGAGTTGGTTATACTATTTCATGCGATGCCATTGCTGTTATGTTACCGTATCCTGTAATTTCACAGCAAAATCTCACATTTCAACTCTAAATACAGCTATGCATGCTTAGTTGTTTCGCGGTCAAAACGAGGTACGAGGAAATCATTCAGACGATTTCTGAATCAAGTCTCCTTCTGGTATTTACCGCAAAATCTACCTCTTTTTTTTATACAACTTAAAATGGTAAACAAGCTGACGGCCCACCTGATGGAAAGTGGTAACCGTCGCCTATAGACATGAGCAGGACCATGGACATAACACAGTATACTGATTCGCCCATGATACTCCCCATGCGTTGTCATTCCTGTGGACTCAGATGTTATTCCTCTGTACCCTGTAAATTCACGCCATATCCCACCCTTCAAACCAAAACATAGCCATGCAAACACAACTGCTTTACGGTTGAAACACGAATGAGACAGAGGCACCCAAGCAAACGACTTTTGTACAAAGTCTCCCTCTGGTATTTACCTATCATATTGTTTTCTGTTTATTATATATATCTTTAATATTCCAGGGGGAATACTCAATATTCGACTTTGTAATAAATACCGATGACTTACCAGTGAACAGTGCAAATGCCGCCCGTTATCAAGTCATTATCAATTTCTACAAGAATCCTGACTGCTCCAGCAAGGACGATATGACATTTTTGTTCTGTTTAAAAATGGATTTCATCATTGAACCAATGTAATTTATAAATAATTAGAAGAGCTAAGAATTACAAAGTTTTGTTGCTATTTTTTTATGCAAACTTTTTAAGAATACTTTTCCGTTACTATAAAACATTGCAATTTAGTTGAAAACTTTAAGCAAATATGGACTGCATTTTCTTGAAGTGCCTTCAACTAAACTGCAAAAGATTCCTAGCATGTCAGCGAACAAATAGACATTAACAGGTAGAAACGTGAAATTTAAAACTATTTAAATAAAATTAAATTACCACTAAAATATTGATTACTTTTATTAATAATTATAATCGTTAATGATTAATTATTCATCGACTAGTTCATTCACATTTTCATCTTTATTGGATTCATAGAATACCTCTTCTTTATTATCCCCTCTAACCTCATCGGATCCTTTAGATTTCTTCAATTTCTTCTTTTTTCCGCCTATTTTTGCTTCATGTTTCTTATCATGCGATTTCTTGCTCTTATTAGTAGCATGTTTACTCCTCGATTTTTTTTCTTTTATATTTTCAAGCCTCTTTTCTGCTTTATCTATGTTTCCTTGACTGATTTCTATACTTTCCGAGTCAGACGAAGCTGAGTCTTCTTTAAGTTTTGTCTCTGTATTCTGTTCCTTGCTGGATAATAAGAGTATTTATGAATGTTAATTTTAAATACTTACATTATGCTCTCGTATGTAAATTCAAAGTATTACATTTCGCCTTAATTCTCGTAATATACCTTATCTTTGTCTTCATTGCTAGTAAAATAATAATATTACATTTATTCTAAACAACTGAGAAATTAGTTCAGGTTACGATAGGGCTGATATACCTTATGAAGATAATATTCCTTAAGTATTAAAAAAAACTATAGACGTAGTTGTTTTGATTATCTTTTAAATTTATATTTATACGACGACATAGTCATACTCTATTATGTCCATGGTACTATTTCATCAAAAAAATAAAAAAAAAAGTAGTAGATATGGACTCAGACAATATAATACTAACTGGTTTGGGTGTGTTTTTATAGTTTCTGTAGTCTTTTAAGTGCATTAAAATTAAGCTAATTAATGAAAAAAAAATACCTGTCACCTTTTTCTTGTTCTGTATTATCATCGCTAAAAAGCAATTATTTTGTATAAGGTAAAAGTTACAGTAAGTCTTAATAGCATTAGAAGTAAATAATAGGTAAACATTTATAATAAATTTAGTCTATAATTTAAGCCTTTAATTTTATTACATCGAGTTCTTAAATCTCCAGATAATCAGAACTATCTGAAGAATCAACTTCATCTACGTAATCACGTAAATGTAAATGAGGTTCCCATATATTAATATAATGTTTTTAAATATATTCTATATATAAATTACATAGATAAGACAGTTATAAATATTGTGTATTATGCCTGAAAGAGTTTTCTTCTAGCCAACCCAATATAGAGAGAAAGCGTGTAACTAGCGGGCAATTAAAATGTCTTTGTGTTCTATTAAACATCCAAAATAAACTACAAAATATTACAAGATATTGCCTGCGACTTTATCCGCAGGACCCTATTACCTGTTGGTACTATCAAAATTTTGCAAAATCTAAAACTGTTTCCTGCAGCTTCAACCGTGTCAAGCTATTAAATCTTGATATTGAGAGAAAGGAATTGTTAATAATAAAGGACACTTTTTAGCTCCATTTTATATACCCTACGACTGACCTTCACAAGGTCTTCTTACATCCTTACCTATAAGCTCTCACTGGTGCCCCGCCAACATTTATCGATAGTGCAAACGGAGTCATCATTTTGTTTTCACCCATTAAATAATAAATACCTCTAGTATTTGTATATTTTCAAAATACTCATATTTTTGAAATAAATTCCAAAATTTGCAGAAACAATTTAGTGCGTAGTTTAGTAGATTTCGTATTAGTCATTTAATAAAGGAGTATTTAATTTATGGATTAAGAACTAAGTTAAAATTTATTTACTCGTCCACTTTGTCCCAGTTGACGGTCCACTCTTCGTAAGTGATGCCAGTTCGGAATACTCTTCTACAATTGTCTCTGCAAAATTAAATACAATATATATATATTTAAGGAGATTGCTAGTAATGGGGATGTCAACCCCCATTGCTAACAATATATTTTGTCAGGTCGACCTCCATGCAGTGTAAGTTCCCCTTTGAAACCATCCTCCACTAGCTTTTTGGCATTGTATACAGTTAGCATATATAGCCGGATGCACAATTCTATCTTTATACATTGAAAATGAAAAATGGAGTAGTCAGAAGTTCTTGATTTTTCTCTCCGATCAAAAAATTTTAAAAGTTTGTAACTTCAATCATATTATATTGTATCCATACATAAAAGTTATACAAACATTATTAAAAAAATTTAAACATCTGGGTAAATAATTCTAAACATTACAAATATTTATTATTCAATAAAGACACAGCGTAAATAATAATTTAGTATTTCTTTTCCGAAATGTACTCACGAGAATACCTAATATTATTCAACATTGGTGACGAATAATTATTATAATTAATTTTTTAATAATGGTAATTTTTTTAATCAAAACTTAAGCTGTAGAAAGGAGGTTTAGCAGCTACATTATTTTAATTCACTAACAAGAAAAAATATGGTCATTGTTTATATAGAAAATTAAATCCTTCGGAATTTGCTTAAGTTCTATACTTTGTAATATCATTGATATTATAAGATAGTTATTTACTCAGCGTCTTTATGAATAGCGCAAGATATGAATTGCCTATTCTTATACACTGAAGTATATAGAAAGGGCCCGTGACAGCTATGGCTTTTGGAGTCGATCTTGCAAGCGGATATGACACCGATTACATGCTCTTCGCCTTGATACTTAACGATTAGTGGTCCCCCGTGATCATTCTAGAAAAAAGCTTGTACAAACTGTAGATTGTCTCTATATATTAGATAGAATGATATATACTTTTTATTGTTTCTTCCAAAAGATTACAGTAGTATTTTTTTTTATATTCCACAAAGGTGGCAAACAAGCATACAGCTCGTCTGATCATAAACGGTCTCTGTAGACTATGGACGTATACAGCTCTATATTATTATAAAAAAAAAATAGAATAAGATGTTGAACCAGCAACAAACGGTGTTATTGCTAAAAGCAACTATTTGTTAGTTCAGGTTTAAAATCATGCATATGATTTCAAAAATCACTCGCTAATTTACCAATTTAAACCATGTGAAAAATAAGCGGTGGCCCATTTTTTGTCTGGTCCACAGCGTTACTTTATAGTTAGGTTAATAAACAGCTGTATTAGTAATGTGTCACGTGGATATTATTACCTCACAAAATCCACCTTGCAGAGAAGATCGCCGTGCAGTATAATCATCAGGATCTCTCAAATGTCGTCCAAGATCTACATTGTAAGTTTGGAAATTGTCATTAGTATCTTCAATATCATATCGACGGCTTTCCACATCGGTACAGTTTGCGTATTTTTTCTACAAAATATAGGTATGTAACGGTTTATTTTACGTAATTTCATAAAATATTTATTTCTATTCTAACATTAAATGGATGATAATGCTTAGCTTAATAGATAGTCTTTTGGATACGTTAAGAAACAAAGTTTTTGTAATTACCAATACCAATCAAAGGAAGTCGAAGCACGAGCAAAAATATTACAATGTATGCGCATAAATCTATTCACAGATTTTACAGCAATGTACAGTTCAAATGCATGAGCATGGAACAAATATGAGTTTGTTCCTAAATAGTAAGTAGTAATTCTTGGAACAACAATTAGTACTTCAATTTCACAGCTACTTACGTTACAGATTTCGCTAAGTCTTCTCATCATATCTTTGGTGCAAATCATGTACTGCGTGATAATGTTCCTGAATCTTTGCGCCCATTTTTTAGCGCAATGCTCGTTGTCCATCACACAGACCTTCGCCTCTTGGAGATACTTAGCGTTCTCTGGAATATGGACATTTTGGCGACGATATACACCCTAAAACAAAGAAAAAAATTTTGCTTAAACTTAAAATATTATACATTCGGTAATTTTATAAGAGTGTTGCCATTTGGCATTAAGAGTTTCTAGTTAGCTCTAAAGTGCTTAAGTGAATAAACCTTTAAAAAAAAATTGGAAATTAATTTGAATATACCGAAGTTTGAATTTTATTCAAAAAGAAATTTAATATAACATTTATTCGTAGTTTTACTACCAATAGTAGTTACTTACATGTTGTGTTATATGTATGCTACTTAATCTACGATAATCTACTAGTGACCCGCCCCGGCTTCGCACGGGTGCAATGCTGATACTAAATTTACCTACCTACTTACTACAGAATACTACTATCTCCCTGCATTTTAAATCTGTAATATCTTCGGAAATATTCATTTAAATTACATGCTGTACAGGGCCATATTGATCTATATTAAATGGACAGTGTATTTAAGGATTAATAATTACTTAATTGGATAAAAAATAATGCTGTATTGCTTAAATTTACTTTGTAAATAAGCCATTTTTTCCTGTAAAATGTAAAGGATAAAAAATAATTATTGTGGGTTATCCTTAAGAGATAGATATATGCCATCGCGAATTTTTTTGTTGATCTTTTTAAGGTGTACATTATTTTGATTTATCTCGTGAGGTTCAGCCAGCGTTTGCAATGTAAGCGCAAAAAAGTGTGTTTATTTACGACATCACATTTGAAACATCTAAATTTATCAGTGTTTCTCTACAACATTATACATGTATTCTACATACAAAACTTCCTCTTGAATCACTCTATTTATTAAAAAAAAACCGCTTTAAAAATCCGTTGCGTAGTTTTAAAGATTTAAGCATACATAGGGACGGACAGACAGCGACAGCAACTTTGTTTTATACTATGTAGTGATTGGTAATATATATTTTTTTTAAATCTACCGTAGGTATATTAAATTTTTACCTCTCTAAAATTACTGCTGCTTCCCCAACCTGTGATGTATCCCTTTGTTCCAGATTTCTCCAATTCTCTACTTATATTATTGTAGGAAATAAGATCAGTAGCAAATTCGCATCCTATTTCAGGAATTCCAAGTTTGAAAGGTTTATCAACTTTAACGATTGCAATGTCATTTGATGACCATTTTATGCTGTCTTGAAAGTCAAATTTATAATCTAAAAAATTCATATGCAGTTTATTCAAATTCAAATTATGCTGAATAGTTTACTATGTTAAACAATTATTGTATATAATAGACATTTACATATACGAGTAGATGTTCAATTTCCAATATAAATACCCAAAACTAATAACACAATAAAGAATGCTTAGTTCCTTTTAATTCAGGAAGCTAAGATAAGGATATATATTTATTATTTATATATTTTATTCCAACTTACTCTTAGGTATACATTTCCAAACAACTTTTCTTCTATGTTTACAGACACAGTCGTCTTCCTTGTAATCAAAGCTGTCTACAAACTTCGTTGTGCCGGAGATAATATAGAAATGATCGGCATCTTCCACACATGCAGCCGATGTAAGCACATATGAGGGATCTACGATGACACCCCCACATAGCCAGCCTCGATACTTGCGGGCTTTAGCGGACTCTTTAGTCAGTTGTAAGTAAACCTAAATTGTAAAAAAAATTTAGAATTTATTGTACCTATACTCGTAAATTTTATGCTTTTGCTTGACTAAGTGAGATGTAATAATGGGTTACAACAGGGAAGTTTTCTTGGATAAAATATCTTACTGTAAATAACTGTTTTTTGACTGAGTTTTGTGTAATTAGTTTGAGTATATTAAAAACTAATTAAATTTATTAACTACTAGATGTATACTGCGGTACCGCCCGCGTGACTCAGTTATTAAAGTATCCTTTAAGCTAAGTTAAAATATAATCTACCCGTGTAGCAAACTTTAATTAAACCTGATTAGTAGTTTTTGCGTTAAAGAGTAACGAACGCTCATCCATAATACATTATTATAAACTATTGCATTTATAATATTATTGATAGAGAGCAAACTAACTATATACTTAAATATTTGTATTGTGAAGCATTTATGTATTTTTTGTTGCTGGTTATTTGAATAGAATTATTTTGTTTAATTCCGCTACCATTAGTATGTGTGTGACTGTATGTGTGCACTCGAAAATTGACCACTACTATTGCTTCCAGAACTTCCACAAAACTCCATATCAGCCAGCAATTTTCGACTGCCATTTCGTTTTAACTTTTACGACATGTGTTTTAATTCCAAACGAGGCGTCTTCAGGTAAATTATTATATCGGTGCTGGGAGCCTAGTGTTAACCCTTCGATACGCAAAATGCGTTTTTAAATCGTGTTGCCGTATTTATACCCTTTAACGGGGCGTTATAGTCTTCCGCGAGATAACAGCTATGTCAGTAAAATATGTTTTGTTGTTTTGATTTAAGTGTTCATCATAACCATCATATTAGCCATTATCTCTCTCTGAGGGCTCTGCCAATAGTTGCCATGCTTGGCAGGCGGTTTGGTAATCGCAGTCAGGCTAGTGATGTTTTAAGAGGGACGCTACTGTCCTCAACCGTTAAGTCCCAAAATCGCCTCTTACGATACTCTCGAGAAAGGATCGGAATTTGAAAATTGGTTTTGATAAATTAATTAGTGAATTTCTGTGAGTGTATGTGTACGTGAGTTTAAAATTTTTTTTTTTAATATTAGATAATGAATATTTGCTTTACCATGTAAGGTCTTTTTCCAATAGGTACATTCTTGCTGTACAATATTCTTCTGGTATCTACTATGGAGTTGTTTTCATATTCCCAACCTTCGTCTTCTGTCTCATCAATTTCAGCTAGACTGTTGTTTGTTACATCCTTCTTTAGTTTGTGTTCTTGATTAGATTTGTGATGCGTTACATTAACGGAACTATGTTCTTTGGCATGTTTCGCTTTGTCAGGATTTTTGTCAACATCAGTAGGATTTGATACAGTTGTGCCTGTAAAAATTCTATAACATAATTACTCTTAATTATAATTGTGATTGAAGGAATGAAAACTCTTTATTGCTTTCTTATTATTGTGGTTCAATAATAATTATAATATTTTCACAGAAATATCAATTTAAATAAATACCTATCACTATAAGAATAAAAAAGTAAATCAAGTGGTAATTTCTCAATTTTTAACAGAACGATCCCAAAACCAAAGGATCGCAGTAAATTGATTTGTCCAAGTTTAAATTAATTTCTCTGCTCAATTTATAGTATGGTTCCAAGTCAATAAATTCAATTATTTCATGTTTGACTATTTAAAATTTTATTTTCATTAACTTCTTTGTATTTGTAATGAAAATACCGTATAAGGGATATCAAGATATATCAAAACCTTTCGAGATTATAATATATTTCGAGATATATATATATATGTATTGTGAACTTATTCCTTTTCACATTGTTTATGATAGGAATAGAATGAATGAAAAACCTTTTTAGTTCAAAGAACATACAGTTTCAAAGAACGTACTGTTTTACTGTACAAAACAGACATATTACACAAAATATCCTATAGTTTTTTTTTTATATTGATTAAAAAAAGAAATACACAAGTCCGTAATAGTTTAATTTTATTATTAAAATACATTACACAGTTTTAGCAGTTTCATTCAAAGCAAGCGGAACTTTCGTATCATTTGTGGCACGCAGTATGAAGCCGCTTCCTGGAAACACCTTGTCGTCTATTGCATCGACTGGTTCGTCTGCACCATGCACGATCTCTGGATCTGTTTCTGGCTTTTTCACCATTTCTAGCTCATTCTTCGCTGGTCTGTATAAATAATAAATATTATTAATTAGCTATATTGTTTTTTGATACTTTTGTATTTTGGTATAGGCATAGATGTGCTCCTGGACACGATTATAGGCTACCTTTTCTTGCGAAAAACTTACAGGGGTGGGGTGAGTTAAGGGTAATATTGACATGAAACTTTTTGCATTCTATTGCACTTTTCGGATTTATTGTTTATAATTCATAATTGAAGAGTACATATTTTTTTTCTCAAACTACACCGTAAAGGAGGTGGGTTTCTTTTTATAACTATTTTATTTCTATCTATACCAACAATCACAATTGTTGAACAAAATAGCAAACGAAGCTGCAAGTAAAAGCTAGTTAATAATACACGTTGTTTACCCGTCGTCATGATTTTTCCATGATATTACTTTTTCCACGTGAGTCACTCCTGATCTGAACTGACGTCTGCATTTAGGTCTATTAGAAAAAAAAAAGAATTATAAAAAAGAAATATATATATGAAAATATGATATAGAGTAATAAGACTCTTGACTTCATTTCTATAAAAATCATAACCAATAATTATATTCAATAATATGATTGAAAAAATTTTGAAGTGGATGAGATTTGATTTCTTCGCTATATTAACAGTTCAGCTGATGCTTCACAAGATTTCCGTCTCGGAGCAATCATTTTACTAACAGTATTTTTTATTATAAATAGATTTTATAACAAGATTAAAATTATATTATACATATAAGTATTTTCTTTTATTATTTATAAATAAAGAAGAAATGTGCTTACTCAACGTCCTTGTAGATGACGCAAGAGATGAACTGTCGATTTTTATAAACGCTGGTGAACAAGAAGGGTCCGTAGCACTTGTTGGTTCTCTCTTTGACAAGGCAAGCTGATATCACTCCAATTACAATAGAGTTAACTCCAGTTCCATAGACAAGAGGGCCTCCATGATCATTCTGTAGGCCGTTTATTATTATGTTAAGTAAAAATAGATAGTTATAAGCTTACTAATTTGACAAAACTGTAACTTGAGAATTTTTGTACATTGTACATGGGAGATATTAAAAAAAAAATATGAGGAGTCTTAATTAGTGCATTAGAAGACAAAACATTTTTTTTTTTATTTTGTCTGTCTGTTCTTTTTGTTCCGGTATCACGTAAAAGCTATTAAATGAAATTGAATGCAGTTTTCGCAGTTGTGTTTCTAAAGATCTAATTTAAAAATTGGTGTATTTTTTATCTTAATATGTTATCCATAAGTGCTCTATTTCATTGTGTTTTCTACTTCTAAAATCCATATATACGAAGTAACGGACACAAAGGTAGTCAGATAATAAATTAATTTCAAGAGTTCCTTCGTATATTTACCTCACAGAATCCACCATCTGTCATAGACCTTCTGTTACTGCTTACAGATGTATTTCCAGAAGATTCATTATGATAAGCGGAGTGCATAACTAGATTTGTTGGTATTTTTTCAGTTTTAACTATTGGAGCATCTCTTCTCATATCCTCCTCATCTGAATAGTTAATATCTTGGCAATCAACGTATTTTTCCTAAATTCAAAATGTTGGTTTGTCAATATAAATTCCGATATTTACAATTTCTTCCATCTATAACTGCATTTTTACATATTTCCTTCAGAAAAAAAAAATTGCTTTATTATTGCTACAATCAATTGGGCTGGATCCAAGCACGTATATACCTTGAAACTATTGTATAAATTCTATACAGGTGCTTATATTTTAGTATAATTATTGTGATTATTAATTAGTTCGAAATTAGGATTAGCAAAACCAGTTTTACCATACCGTATCAGTCATTAACTGTCCAGTGTTGAACATAGGGATCCTCATATTGGAGGGTTAAAAGCACCAAGTAAATTAAATTATCCTACTTACTATTACAAATGTAAAAGGTTGTAAAGAAGTTTGTATATTTGTTTACTTTCATCATCATCATCATCGTATCAGCCGTTAACTGTCCACTGCAGAATATAGGTCTCCTCCATAATGGGGGTTTTGCCAGTAGTAGCCACGCTTGGCAGGCAGGTTGGCAACCGTAGTTAAGCTTTAGGAATGTTTTAAGAAGGACGCTGCTGTCTACCCCTCGATCATTAAGTTACCTTAGTCGTCTCTTATAACACTTACGGGAAAGGAAGGGATGGCCCATTCTATGCCGGGACCAAACGGCGTTCAATGACAAACTAAAGATTTTAAGTTTCTAAAAAATAAATAACAAATATAAAAAATGTTTCATTACGTTGCAAATCTCCGACATAGTTTGCCCCACATCCTTGGTACATATCATGTAGTTGTCGATTATGTTATGATAGCGGGAGCCCCAACGTCTCTTGCATTTGTTTTTGGATATAATTTCTACATGAGCCTCTAGAAGATTTTGTTGGTTTTCTTTTCTTCTATTCACCCACTAAAATATTGTATAAATTAACATTATTAAACAATATCGGTCACGCTAAAACTATGAAAAAGCTATTAATAATACATTTACCAAATGCGTAAGTTACATTGTAGATTACACTTGGTAATTCAATGGAACCGTAAGTGCAGAACATAAGTATAGAAAAAGAAGTATAGCTAGTGTATTTCATATAATTATATATTAAGATAAGGATTCACTCAGGATATATATATATATATATATATATAATTATTATATATTGATTAATTATAAAAAAAATAAATTTAAAACACTTTTCATCATATTGATTTTGTCAACCTAACACATATGTGAATTAGAAATTTATTACGAGTATGAATCTATTAATAGAAATAATTATATGACATCGTTCTTAAAAGTTATATTACTTTATAAAGTATCTTCAGATAAAACTTACATCATTGTACTTAGAAGTAGTACCCCAGCCTGCGACACTGACAACTGAACCGGGATTTTCTAAAATTTGACTTTGGTTGTTATGGGAAATTGGTTTGGGTATGAAGTCGCAGCCTTTGATAAGTCTGGTGAAATCAAAACCTTCTTCAACCTTCACGACAGCTATATCGTTATTCATCCACCTGATATTGTCATTTTCGTGACCATCGAAGACATAATCTGGTATAAAATAAAATAATTTTGATCAAAATGAGTAAATTAATAAATATCGTTCCCAATAAGATACGCCTAAAGACTTCTAATAAGAGCATTTGGTAATTTTTTATTCTCTATATTTCGATACTATAATATTATATTCGTATATGCGACGATAGCTGTGGTATATCTATTTACCTTCATCATCAAAATTATATCAGCCTTTAACTGTCCACTGCTGAACATAGGACTCCCTTATAAAGGAAGGTTTTGCCAGTGCTTGCCACGCTCGGCAGGTTGGTAAGCAATCACAATTAGGTTTTGGTAAAGTTTTAAGAGACTGTCGCCCATTTCTCAATTATCAAGTTCCCTTAGTCGCCTCTTAAGACACCTACGGAAAAGGAAAGGGTGGCCCCTTCTATCCCGAGACTATACGGTTTTTTTTAATGTAACTTAAAATGGTAAACAAGCTGTCGGCTCACCACTTTTAATGACATGAGCAGTACAATGGACAAAACAGAGTATACTGTTTCACCCGTGATACCCTTCATGCGTTACCATTCTTGAGGATTAAGGTTTTATTCCTCTGTACCGTGTAAATTCACTGCATTCATTCATATCCCATCCTTCAAACCGAAACACAGTCATGCAAACATAACCGCTTCACGGTTGAAACATGAATGGGACAGAGGTATCCAAACAAACGATTTTGTACAAAGTCTCTCTCTGGCTTATTCACAGATCTTTTTTTTTATAAATAATAAGTTTAACCAACTCCTACTTTCGTTGTCATCATTGATTCATATTTGATCATCATTGATCATGATTTTATAGATATCTTATTTCATTCATGCTGATTAGTTGTAGCTTTAATAATAAGATCGGTTACAATATAATATGTGCAGCTTGGCTTTCATTACTACTTAGTCAAACTTTAAATAATACTTTTCTATCAATATTGTGTTCTACATATTTACTTTTAGGAATGCACTTCCATATCGCTTTCTTTGCACCATTCTTGATACACGGATTGTTATACCTGTCGTCGTCATCAGAGTACCTAAACAGATTTTTATAAAAATTTACATTTCCGAAAAGAAACTATTTTTATAACTTATTTATTATCAAGTTTAATTGCCAAGTTATCTTTTATATTTAGAAGTGTTATATACTGAAATATTTTTTAATTAGTGTTTTAAAAACACCTATTATATTTTTTTATATTAGAAATAACTAGATTTTTTTATTACTTTCTTAGTTGGCATAGTACAAATAAATAAATATTGAATAAAAATAAGTAATTAATACTTGTATGTTCCAGAAACAACATAAAAATGTTCAGCGTCTTCTATACAGGCAGCAGAAGTCATGATGTACTCTTCATGAATAATAACTCCGCTACATAACCATGTCCTATAGTTTGGTTGCTTTTTGTTACTTCGTGGTAGTTTTAAATATACCTGAAAGTTTTCGCAGTTGATAAAGTGAAAATAATTAAAGTTTGTGTCTCGCTCGTTAAAAGAATAAAGATTGTATTCCAAAAAACACTTTAATTATGACAAAACCAGTTATTTGGATCTCAAATTTAAACTACTGAACTAGTTTGACAAATTTTCTATAGGACCAATCTGTAAGTATATCTATTCAGATAAAAAATAATTTGCCAAATCGGTTTAGAACTGACGGAGTTATGAGGTAACAAACATTAAAAATACAATTGAATTGAGAATCTGCTTCTTTTTTAATTTGGTTGAAATGTAAATCGTCTTTTGCTTGATCATATATAAAATTTTATTGTTTTTGAAATCTCTGACAGTGGCTATCTGTATTGCATTAATTAAATCATGTAATAATTTTTACCATGTAGGGTCTATCGTTTGTAACTTCTTCTCCGTTTATGATACGTCTTGTACCATTCAATATTTTTTCTACTTCTTGTGGTAATTGCGTAGTTAATTCTAATGCTTCAACATCTGGAACAACATGTAATGCTGTAATCATATTATTTAAGAACATAGTTCTCTAGATGAACTCATTCTTCTATCATTGTACAATAAGATATTATTATTATATTTTATTTAGAATAGATAGATACTCTTTGTTATTTGCTCCAAAAGATTACAATAGTAAACTTATTATAGATATAAACAATTACAAGAAATAATCACAATGAGAAAACAATAGCGACCTTATCGATAAAAGCGATCTCTTCCAAGCAATCTTTGGATGGAGAGGAGTAATTAGAAACAGTTCGATCAGAGGAACGACGAAAATTCTATTATTTTTAAATATAGAGATGAAAGAAGAAAATAAAGTATATACTCTTATATTAATATAAAAAATGGTGAATTTATGTATAATTAAATTACCCAAAATATATACAAAAAACAACAAAATACAAGATATACGTATCATGTTGGAGGATTACGCTATAAACAAGAACCTAAAACAATACTAAATTTGAGTAATTGATTAAAAGTAAATTGACTATTTCATGCTTATTGCAAAAATTAATCGACATGTAACTTTCTAGGCATGTACAACTAAAAAACATGTTGGTTTAAATATAAAATTAAATAAGATGAAAAATAAAAATATTAAAGTGTATTAGAAATGTAGATATCAATGAAATAATACGACATAGTAGTTTAATGTTTTAAAACGTTTTATCTGGCCAATTACCGCTAGTTGTTATATAAATTAGATGTATTAAATTAATTTTTACTATTTACATTGCTTGTTTTAAGTTTGACCTTCAGGAACATAACTGTATAAAAACATTCTATTTGGTCCAATAGCTTTTTGGGTCCTATTATTCTCTAGTTATAATTTTTTAATATGTATAAAATAGTATTAAATTTAAACAATGAAACTAAATCATAATTTAAATTTTAAAACCATGAATTTATCTGTAGTTTATCTGTAGTAGGTAGAATACAGACTTTTACTGTATTAATTTTATCTTTATTAAATTCAGCAAGTCTTAACTAAAACGAATCAAGTGTACCTACAATTAAAAAAATCTTGCTTTTGTACAAGACTATGACAATTGTATACTTCGATTTGAAAGGTAGGATATGACTGTGAAAGTACAATCCAGTAATCTCACCGAGGCATAGTACCCTAATCCTCAGGAATGACAACGCATGAAGGGTATTGTAAGCATTACAGTGATGTTCTGATAAAAAAAATTGCAATTTATTCGCGAAACTGAACTATTAACACTAAAGAGTGAAATTGAAATCTCAACATAATTTTTGATATACCTATTACAACTAACTCTGTATTAGCACTTACATATATAGCAATAAAAATACCAAGAATAATCCAATATAGTTATTTATTTTGACAAGATTTTTATGTAGTTGCATTAACAACATTCTGTTTCTGTTAATCCTCTGGTTTATCAATGAATGCTCTGACGATATTGTTCTGTTTTGTCCAAAGTCAAAATATGTTTTGTTGTGTTTCTCTCATTTTGTTTAATCTTTTCCAATTCATTCCTTCTCATCTTTTTTATTTCATTTTTAGCAGGCCTGTAATGGAATAATTTGTTTTAATAATTTTAAAAAAGGTGATGGGCCATTTTAATTTTCTTCGTGTTTCAATTCAATGCAGAGTCATTAGGCATAACTATAGATACAAAATAGCTCATAATTATATTTGATCAGAGTAATAATGTTACAAAAATAAATATGTATTAGTACTATACTTATTAATAAACTACACAATACTGATTGAAACTGGTAATTAAAAATGTTTAAAATAATACCATAAATGGAATACTGTTTGGTTAAAACGTACCTCTTTTTATCAATATTCAATCATAAGTTGATTAGCATAAAACCTAAAGATAAAAACGAAATGCAATCTTTTGGATTCTTTACCAGACACACAATCGTCTTCATCGTTATCATATCAGCTGTTAATTATCTACTGCTGAACATAAACTTCTCCCATAAGTGGCGTTTTGCCAACAGTTGCCAAGCAAAGCAGGCTGGCAACCGTAGTTAGGCTTTTTGTTAAGAGGGACGCTGCTGACCATCCCTCAATCATAAGGTTACCTTATTCGCTTTTTATGACACCTACGGGAAAGTAAAGGCTCATTCTATGCCAAAACTACAGGACAAAACAAACAATATAAGTAACAAAATAAAAAAATTATGTAGGTACACGTCAAATTTAAGAATTTCCCCCTAAGGAGGGTTTTGCAAGTAGTCGCCACGCTTGGCAGACGAGTTGGCAAACGCAGCTAGCCTTTGGTAAAATTATAAGAGGAGCGCTGTTGCCCATCCCTCGACCTTTAAGTTTTCTTAGTTGCATTTTACGATATCCACGAGAAGGAACGGGTGAAAAAGTCTACATCGGGATCACACGGTGATATGTTAATTTTATTAAAAAAAAAAAATTAATAAAGTTCCATCAAATGCCAACAATCATGATTATTAAAGTTGCTGAGAATAAATGAATGCGTAAAAGGACCGTGGAGTGTAATCTTGGTAGAAATTTATGTCCGACATCATAGGCATATTTGAGTGAGCATATTAGAGTAGGTATATTTGTAGAAGTCCGTGTTCATTCTATAATTTTCTTCTGTCTACCCCAATATGAGAGCGGAACTATTATATTACTCGTAGTTATCTACAAAGGTATGTCTGAGAGTCTATACGTATGCGTATACCTCTGTCCCATTCGTGTTTCAACCGTAAAGCAGTTGTGTTTGCATGGCTGTGTTTTGATTTGAAGAGTGGGATATGATGATATGGCGTGAATTTACAGGGTACAGAAAAATAACACCTGTGTCCTCAGGAATGCCAACGCATGGGTGAAACAATATACTCTGTTATGTCCATGCTCATGACGTACGACGGTTACCATTTTCCAACAGGTGGGCCATCAGCTTGTTTGCCATTCTAAGTTGTATAAAAAATAAAAGATAAACGCTAACGTCCAGCAGTGAATTGCTGTGGGTTGATATATTAGATACATTAATTTTTTACCATATAAGGTCTCGTATCCCCGACTTCGTGTCCGTTCAGTATTTTTCTTGTGTTTGATAGTATTTCGCTACTTCTTCGCCTCTCTATGCTTGATAATTGAGATACTGGAAATTAGAACGACACATTAATTAAATTTAAAACTAAACGACTAATTTTGATGAAATTTATCATATATCTCATAATATAATATATAGGTAGTTAAACTGTGAAAGATAGTCTATTTAAAGTATTTAGTCTAAAATAGTCTAATTTTCTTTATATGTCTATATCAATTTCTTTTCTTTCTTTCAATTTTCTTTCAATTTCCTTTCAATTTCTTTTTTTTAGAAAAACCTGTTATTGGCCATACTACTTTGTTATAAAATGTTTGTTAATTTTATTTTTAAACCGCTGTTGGTTTTTTAAAATAAATAAATAAACTTTGTTGAGATATGGTGCCGGTTATCACTTTGATTGATACACTGTTTGACTGTAGTGGCATTAAAACAAGTTTTTGTGTAAAAAAAAATAGTTCGTACTAACTTGCTGAATAAATTAGAAAACAAAATAACAGTTCTAAATGCAAAATAAGTAACAAATTAAAGTTGTACAATAGTAAAGAAGAAATAAAATTCGTTTTACTATCAGAGTTTATTATTACGGTGTCATGGTCTGCTGAAATGTGATTGCATGCTAACTTAAATCGTATCCTTTCAGAGACTTTTTAGAGATCTGTAACAAAACGATACATACAAAGGAACCCTTATAGTGCGACTTTGTCCGTCTGTCTGTTCGTCCGTCCTTCAAAAAAGGTACAGAAAATTTTAAAATGATACTTCTACTTCAAGTGATATGATATCTTCATTTGTAGATTTTAAAACATTTTTTAATTATTTATATGCTGTGTAGTTTTAAACTAATAATTGAAAATATAAAATAATAAAGTCTCCCCCCCCCCTTCCTTTATTTCTGAAATTCGTAAAGCGAAAAATCTAAAATAATTATTGTTTATAAAAGTGTATGTGAATATTTCAAGAAATATAAAAATATGTTTCCAACTATCACAGTTTTGAGACATTATAAACAAATTCCAAATACAAACAATACTTTCCGTTCTTACCCATAAAATTAAAATCCCTCTATGCATTGCTTATAAAATTTCTTCCTTTGTTGCTTTTGTTTTCGAGTTATAAAATTTTTAATAATCAGTGTAGTTTAATAGATGTCGCTTTTAATCTTTGCTACTTGCCGCTAGATGGCAAATCAATCATAAAATTTGTTTTTAAATAAAACGAAAATGTAAGATAAAATTATTAATAATGAAATTATCAACACGAAGATTACTATGAAGTAAATATTTTTATTCATCATCGGCGTTTCAGCTCTTCAGTGTTTACAGCTAAAGACAGACTCATCATAAGGCTCATCAGAGGTCAAAATATTTTTGTTCGTGGCTCCATCTAGTGGAGAGTCGACCTGTAACTACGTTTGGTTGTACGTGTAGTTATATTTACTGCATACTGCGGCTATGTCCGCATGAATCAGATAAATTTAGAAACTTTCACATTGTAATATTAGTAAGATTAGTTTTTGTGTAATCTCTGGTCCACTGAGGAAGGGGATTATCAGGTCGGTTTCTACACGGGCCTCCTTGAGAACCATGGCGTCTAATTCTGGTGAATTTACGGTAGGTAAACTGACTAACTCCCTTATTGGGATCCTCGGACAGTGGGGGAAGGAGGAATTGTTAGTAATGGGGACTAGCAGTCCCATTGCTAGCAATAAATCTTGTCAGCGGTTTCTCCTAAAAACTATCGTAATTAATTCTTGATGAATTTCCTCAAAAAAATCGCATGTACAGGATTTCGTGCGTTGATTATTTACGTCTCATAAATTATTTTATATTTGACGCAAAGTTAATGATAGTTAAAAAAAGTACGTACTTATGTAGTTGAAACAATACAACAATCTAATAAGATTCCGTTTTTTTTTTCTTAGGTGTGGAACCCTAAAAAATATCTGTACTGAACCCTTAAGTTCCGCAGAACTCGCTATAAAAATCCTTATTCTAGACACTTTAATATAAAAAAAAAAAACAGATATCTAAAGAAAGCATTGAAGCTTCGCCAAATTAAATTTATCTCTTTTGGGGAAATTTATCATAGTTAGCTATGATTGAATCAAAAACTTGGCAATATCAACCCAAGTGTATTACGCATAACGTTGTAGAGTTTTAAAACTTTGATTTATTTATTCACTAGCTTTTACCCGCGTCTTCGCCTGTGTGACCGGAATGTAAATATTGAAAATGAAACCTATGCCCTTTTCCATCCTACGCAGTACGTATAGTAAATTTCATAGTGATTGGTTTAGCTGTTAAGGCGTTAATAGGTAACAAACAAACAAACTTATTTTCACATTTATAATATTAGTAAGAATAAGGATTGTATCTTATCTCAATGCCAACTCAAAAAATCATTGGCGTTCCCAATTGATCATC